CGCGGCTGGAATTTACATATGTTACGTCTAGTATTACTAGGATAATATCCTGAAAGTTTTAGGAAAAACTATACACTCGTTTCAAAGTTATGTATGGTCATGGTCAATACTGGTGACCAGGGAGAAAAATATGTGCACTAACAAAAGCATATGGCCCTAGTCACCCGCATACCTCGAATTTACATATGTTACATCGAATATTGGTAACATAATATCCTGAACGTTTAAGAAAAAATATACACTCTTTTCAAAGTTATGGTCACATTTGATTTGATTTGGTAACCTTTATTCATGTGTCATTAAATATATGTATGTATACATATATGTATGTATGTACATATGTACATATGTATGTAAGTGTATATTAGATAATAATATTCCATAAATTAATCATCACGGCAACAACAATATAGATAATTTAATTAATCCATTATCAAAAGAACATGCAAACCTAAATATCTGTCATAATACCAGCCCGTAATCTTCCTTGTTCCCTGTAATGTTTAATTTAGCTCTACGAATTAGTAATCTGGAGTCCAGATTCTGGACTATGGATAAACAACTAAAATAATTTTCTAGCTGAAAATATAAATCTAACACAATCATCTTAAGTTAATTAACTTTACCAAAACTAATTATTGCCATATGTATTAGAAAATAAATTAAGTATGTAAATACCAAGAGCCCATCATGTTCTCTGGAATGGGAGATAATTAAAATATATTACAAATTTCTGTGGAAAATAATATATTTGAAGGGGCATGGTTAGGAAACACCCGGGGTGTTACCTTGAAGACAACTACCCTTGGATTTACTAGTTTACTCAATACCTTCCGTAAAGTAACATTAATTACAACAGCGTAACTATTTAGGGTTTAGTCTTATTTAAAGATTTACCATGAAACCAAACTGCAAACCAACAAAAAGACGCAGAATAATACTATCATAAATGAGCGGCAGCTTAGCTGTACATTGCGATTTTCAGATCATAAAGAAAGTTTCATAAAGAAAGATAAATTCAAAGAATACGACTTGAATAGAGTTACTAAATTCTACTTGAATTTTAAACGGAATTAAAAAAACCTCACCAGACCTCAGAAAAATTAAGGTTCGGAATTCCTGGTTATTGCGTTATAATAAATACCTGTCAGTATAATACCTGAGCTACATGATTTATTGGGACCACATACATACACAGACGTGATAATAGACGGGTAAACTTATCCTTAGCTGTAGCACAGAATGTTATTTTGCGTACGCCTATGTTCTCGCCATGATAAATGAAGAGATAAAGTTACTATAAATTTTTTAATTAGTCTTCTGTTTTACATAATGTTCCTCTTGTGTTAGATCGATTTATAGTCTAATTTGGACCGAAATCCGATTTAACCAGAAAATGTACACAACTCACTTTATGCCTTTTCTTCTGCGTCATTTAAAATTATGCCGAAGACTGAACTCCGTTCTGTTTGATTTTGACCGAAAATCTGGAAACCTTGTGATGACCAAGAATCCCGCTCAGATACGGATGTTTCGTCTACAAATTGTTTTCCATTTAGCGTACTGCATTATCATCGTGGGCCATCTCAGCTTTAGCGCATTAACAAAGGCTAAACAGTTCCAAGGTTTTGTCATCTTGTGTATGTACATTATCATTTTGTGTGGGCGCTGGAACTATGATTTGGACGTCGCGATTGTGCAGATAATCAATTCAGCTATAACATTTGAAAATAAAATCTTTCAAGGTAGGAGAAATTGAAAAATCCTAAATTCTTCGAAATTCTAGCATTAATGAAAAGATACCTCATATCTAACCTGTGAATATACTGATTTCCTAGAGACACGTGCTTTGGGGGCAAATATAGAGACGAAACTGATGAAACTGTTCCTTCACGTCACCTTTTATAGCGTAATTGCAGTGATTGTTGCAATTCCTGGACTAATATTGTTGGATCCTTGCTCACCTCCGTTTCTTCTCTCGATAAGAGAAGATTGTGCCTCTATGACCTGGACGACGTCCATAGGAGTTCAACATCTTGCTGTCCTTTACGAAACGTGGATGCTTATGCATGTCATAATGGGTGGAACGATGGAAATCATCTACATCCTGTTCGCCGGAATTGTCAGCTTATTGAACTACTTTGCTGAATTGAACCGGTAAATCCAAATACTGGGTCGCCATACTGCAGAATAAGTTTAAATTAAGGATCTTAGAAACCTAATTTTTATTCTGTTTTGTAAGAAAAATTCGAGTGTCTGAAACAGCCGCCGACTTCAAAACATGCACCAAACTCTATCGAAGTATTCAAATTCTGGAAAAAATGTTCAACGGATTTCTCATGGTTCGCCTCGTTCCGGTCTATATGCTTCTGATGCCGACATTACAGATTCTTACGCAGTACGTGTCCATTATGATGCATGACGAAATACCAATGCCAGCTTTTCTTATTTTTCCCCTTGTTTGGGGGAATGTCTTCGTCAATAATATTTTCGTCTTCACCCTAGCCTCCTGGGTAAATAATATCTCGACTAAGATTTTGAGGGAGACGGTGAACGCTATGGTACGCTATGGATGGGGTGGGAGGAGATCTGCCATAATTAAAGGGGCTAAGGCTTGTACTGTTCTAAAAATTAAATTCTGCTCCAATTTCATCGACAGCGGGACACCGCTTGTAATTCAAAATTTTTGCCTAGCCCAAACGATGTCCCTCATTCTGATCAGTGGGTCACGGAAGGGACGCTAATGCTAATGCTCCTAGGGGAAAGTAAAATATCATTATTTACTGTTTTTCAATATTTTCACCGCAGATTTCCTCGATATCAGATTTCTGATTTTCTCATTTGTACATATTTCTTCATATGAGTATACATACCTACATACATATGCACATACACCGCAAATGATATTCATTATTTCCATTTTATTGGAATGACGATCATGTTGTCCAGGCTAGTTTCTCCATATTAATCTCCAGTCCATTCAAAGCGGGCAAAGCGAAGGCTATGTATGAGTTCGCGTCCCCCTGTCGGGGCTGGAAATGTGTTTTTATATACTTAAATGTGAACAAGTTGAGACATGGGTACCTTCCACAATATAATTTCTATGTACATAGGAACTATTTATCTCAATAAGTACCAAGCATATTAGGAAACTCTTTTGTTGGTCGCCATGCGATATAAAAATAAGAGGCTTGCATACTTATTACATTAATCATTTGCTGGGTAAAAAACTAGCTCGTCTCATATTTCTAATGTAGGGAAGTGAGCATAAATTAGGTTTTAGCTTCTTGAGGCTGACTTGCAAAATTTTGGATTAGAAAAAAGTGCTCATGAATAACCGATTATCTGTAAACACGTATGTACACGTATGTATGTACCTACTGAATTTCATGCCAAACGAAGACGTACTTAGATAATTGCGTTTTACATACATATTGACACACCTGTTCGAGTGATATAATTTAAAGCAGATACGGCTCGTACATAGTTTATAGTTGGTGAAGGACTCTTGGCCGTGTTTCTGTGCCAACCTACATATGTACAAATTTGCTTAAATATTTATACATTCATTAACAAAAACATGCAAACTAATGTAATACTTGATTACTTTAAAGCCGTAATGTTCACGAATGACGCCGCAAAAATAATATGTATGTAGAGTTTCTCACTTGGCCACAGTGGAATAAATCCATTCTCATCACTTTCAATTTAATCTAAACATTTTTATAACTCCGTGTATAAATTATTATATTTGTCAATCTTGCGGTAATTCCGCAAATTTAAGTTCAGAGAACTGCACAATAATGAAATCAAATTTCCTATCTGCAACCTTATTGTTCCTGTATTTTACCGGAAATTCGACTTTCCTTCCAAAAACTATAGGGTTTTCTACCGTAAATTTGACGTCTGTCTTAACACCTAACGATCCTTGTCGATACCACCTCGTGTTCAACAATATTTGCCCCTCGAGTCTACCAACCACTCGGAATGTGCCCCTCAAACTCACCAAACGGAACTTTCTTGACAATTTTGGCGCTCAAAGCGACGACACCGTTCGTTTTGACATCTCCCAAGATAAAGGCTGGCTTTGCGAAATTGTCATTCTATTTGTCACCATGAGTTCACAAAATTTTACAAAATCCGACGCAAAAGGAGTCGCACATTGGATCACTACTCAAAGTAGGAATTATTTCAGGCTGAATCAGGAAATCAAATTGGACATTTATCCAGATAATTTGTACTTTCTCTTAATTCCAAGGCCATCCGGAATATTGTTATCCCACATTATTTCACCCCTGTCTTTAGAACACTACGCATTTATGATAGAACTACCCGTCAAATTTTCAATTTTGTTATTTCTCGCGGAAACCAAGGTCGAATTGTGTCACAAAATTGGAGGAAGATCCCCAAACCTGGAAAATTTCGTGTGTCATGTTACACCCTCCACCGTTGATATAGTAATTTTCTCTTCTTTCAACTACCCGCCATCCACGGAATCGAATTGGGTCCAGTTCACTTATACTCAACACGAATTATCCGACATTTTAGCATCCTTGGTAATAAGTAGACTTAATGCAACCAGACATTTAGCAAGCGTTATCGATGCATGTTTAACTTATCCTAAGGAGCCCTGTTTCTACCCGTCCTTTACTTTCGAAGGTCTTGTCGATGGGATATTTCAGAGCCAAATTGTCATAACAACTATTCCCGGGTTGTCGTTCTTCTCGTGCTATTTGGTTTCGAGAGGGGTTACGTTTTCCCTGTATTTAGCTCCATACGACGCAACCGTGTGGATCGTTACGGTTATCATGGTTCTCTTATCTTCCTCCCTCCTTTATCTAAGATTTTATCTTTTAAACAAGAAAATCTATCTGGTAAACATTCTCTTATACTTTTTCGGTTGTCTGATTGACGAGGTTTGCCACCTCCCGGCAAAATTAAGCGCTTTCCTTCCCTTCAGACTCTTAAGTATTCCGTGGCTCGTCCCAAGTAGCCTCTGTGCAGATCTTGTGCAAGTCACAATGAAAATTTATGCAGATTTTGTGCAGATATTTTAGTACAATAAAATTTGTGCATGAAAAGTAAACATTATGCACTAACACATATTTACAAGTCTATTTGTACAAAATGTTTACCAACTTTGTACGTATTTCTGGGCATCTACTTAGTAATTAAATATATGTATAAGTTTTATGCAAACTTATCTACATTAAAATTGTACCATAAAATCTGTATCAAATATGCACCAAATATGCACCAAATAATATATGAATTCTGCTGCAGATTTCCATGCACCAAACTAGCATCAAATATGCACAAAGAAAAAAAGGGTGATCAGGCGCCATCTTCATGCTACACAGTTCTCTACTCATTTCCTACAGCCGTCAAAACGTGGTTTTCTTCTTTCTTAAAATATTAAATAATTAATTAATATGGAAAAATTGGTTCAAAGTGCAGACCAAAGTGATAAAACTTTCACGGTGGTCGAGTTTCACTTAGATAATGGAGTAAGTGTTGTTCCAAGTTCTTGGATATCGGAAAAAGTAGGAAAAAAGTTTTGTCCGTTTCCTGATCCGATTCCGAAGGATTTTGAAAGTATTCAATCCAACCTAAATAGTGTTCCTGGCCAGGATTGGATTACTTATGAAGTCACTTGTGTCAGAGTTCATGGTAAATTTATTCTAGTCCAACCTACTGAATTAAAATTACTGGTAAATTTTCATTCTTAACATATTTTGTTTATCTAATTTTTAGATAACTACAAAAGAGCACAGGGAAAAGCAAAAAAGCACATTAGGAATCAACAGGTTGACTCGACTGATGCAGAATCAGGACGAGGAAAACGATTTCGAAAAAATGAAGAAGTCCTTGTCACCCCGGCCGTATCAGAACCACCTCCGTCGTTGCTTCATCAAATAAATAGTGGTGAGAACTTTAAAAAAAGTACATTTTATATTGATCTTAAAATGTATAAAAATATCAATTGTGGTTTAGGCTCGAGTCGGCAAGTGAACGGTCCTGCTGAAATCCCAAACGATCAACAGCTGCAGACCCTACAAATTCCATACATACGAGTTGAGGCGGATCAGCAACTCTCAGAGCTATTTTCAGAATTTAGAAGTACTTATTAAATAATATTACTTGGTTATATTTTGCATTGTAAAAATACTTTTTCTGAACTTGCAGATTTTCAAGAAGAATCATTACGAAACCAAGCATTTTTACTGGAACGAGTGCAAAATTTGGAGAATCTTCTATTGAACTCATTACAAAATCGAGGTGCCAACTCCCGCTGGGCTGGATGGAAATGGCCAATTAAAACAACAGCTGACGTGGATGCAGTCGAATTATGGTTATTGGACCCACGCAACTACCAGGAAGAAGTATGTACTATATATGTTTTTCAAATTCTATTTTGCTTGCTTTATATTGATAACTGTTGTAGGAAATAAGAATATATATTGCTTATGTGTTTCAGGTTTTGATATTGTCAAAAGTTGGTGGTAATTCCGGTGGCACAAAGTGTGTTTACGACACCCTTGATTGGATGATTTGTCATCAACTGGCGCTGACCCTTCGCTATACCAGTAAGAGTGGAAAAACAGCTATTCGTAAAACTTACTCGTGGTAAACAAACCAAGTCATACACATTAGAATACAAATTGTAGTATTTTTTTAAATAATAATAATTATTTTTCACTTTCAGAGTCCGTCAGACTATCAAATCCTGGATTAACGGATCGCCAGATCAATCGCTTCATTGCTTCCTGGTTTCGACAGTCCTCACAACGTGATAAATCGAGAAATGAAAACAAAACTGGTCACCCCACGCAGAACACTGCAACGGCGAGCGGAGAGGGTGGTCACCGCGGCACTCAAGAGAATTCGAACTCAACGAACTCAACGTACGACAACGATTCTGGCAGAGACGAGTAATGAAGACGAATCAAACAACCAGCATTCTCGTCACATCGCTAATTTAGAACATGTAGAAAGTAATTTGCAAATTGAGGAAGCTGAAAATCTTATGCCAACTTGTTCTGTTATCCCACCAATTAATAATAAGTCTAAATTAATTCAGTTAGGTAAATGGGCAACCGAGTTTAATATTAGTCATATCGCTCTGTCAAAACTATTATATTTAGCCCGTGAATGGCTGCCTCATGAGGGGTTTCCAATGGATCCTAGAACACTTTTAAAAACTAAACGGGTCATAGAAATTAGGGATATTGAAGGGGGAAAATTTTATCACTTCGGAATCCTCAAACATATTAATGAAGTAATAGAATCGGGGAACTTATTAGATTTTACAATTCCCAATTTGAGCAATTTTCTAGAATTACGGAATCTTTTAACACTTAAAATTGGAATAGATGGGTTGCCAATTTCCAGAAGTTCAAACAAGCAATTTTGGCCAATTTTAGGGAAGCTGGATCAAGATCCAAGATCGAGAGTTTTTATAATTAGTTTATTTTATGGATCTCAAAAGCCACAAAGTTTAGAAACCTTCTTGGGTCCATTTGTCAAAGAAATGCTAAAATTGGAGCAAAATGGTGTGCACGCTAAAGGCTGTCATTATTCAGTTAGGATTCGCTGTCTTGTAGCTGATGCGCCGGCTCGCAGCTTTCTTAAGCGAATAAAAGCCCACAAGGGAAAGGTATTACGCCAGGCATAACATGGAGGAAGGCAGCGTCGCAAATTTAGTCATTCCACACTTCGTAAAGGAATTAGGAGGATTTTGTTACACAGTTTTGTCCCGATTTTATACATTTATTCCGGTAAAGTTTCACATTTTGAATTACAAATCTTCAGATTATTTCCACCCAGAAGCTGCCTTTTACGCCGACAAATTTCCACAACATGTACAACATTTATTATATTCCGTGATGAATCCAAGGGTTCGATGGAATCCGGAAAAATTGCCGTTGTCGGAAGATTTTACATAAAAAGGAGTAAATCAGATGGTCGAGGAGGAAATTTTAAAGTGTCATAGATCCGCTTATATCGGACCATCGAGGGAGGTGGATGTCTACTATGAATATTTGAAGAGACATTTTCCCACCAAAAAGTGGTATCGTGGAGGGAAAACGATTTTTGAAAGGCGGTTCGGATTTATGTTCACCGTGTGGCGGGAATCGCGGATGGTCCGATATTTTAAATTGTTCGTGGATTCTGGGATTTACAACCGGGTTTCTAATCAGGTCGCGCTCAATGCGAACATCCTTCGAGAAAGGGAGGCGAATTTAGGGAAAAGTGAGAAATTTCGGTATGCCGAAATGTCCTTCAAGGTGGTGCAGCTTGGTGATAGTATTCAAACTGTTTTCATTCTGCTCGCCATCTGTTTAGGGGTCTCTTGTTGTGTCGTCGTTTTCGAATGCGGGAAATATAATCGGGCAGCCATTGCGAAAAGGGGTGCACTAATTTGTGCTAGAATTATAAAAACTGTGCAAAGATGTCGGAAGAAAACACGGCCCGCAGTGTGATCCCACAGTTTTTAGCATTCGGTGCAAGATGATTACCATGCGGTTTACATGAAAAATGTTTATATATGTATCCTTAGGTAACATGTATCCTTAATATGATAATTTTTATAATAATGTGTGCATAATAATAATATGATAATATGTATCCTTAGATACAAACATATATTTGTATGTATCATCCTGCCCATCCATATTAGTAGTGCACACTACTACGTTTGGTTTATCAGCATGGCTGGTTATCTAATCATGTGGAAAACCGAGCCACATTTGTCTCATTTTTCCACCTCAGCTTATGCATAAGCTGAATTTTGTATAGTATCGTCGCCGGGCTATTAACGTCTGTGGATCTGGCAAAAGTCCGGCATATCTACGGATAATTATATGCTCTTAAATATGTACAGTATCCAATTCACGAATAAGACTAACTCAGATCTTAAGTTTATGCTTAAACTCCACGAAGTAGAAATTAGATATTGCAAATTTACACTTGCAGATTATGTAAAAAATTTTGCATAATAATAACTTGATAATTCGCACAGTGTTTTACAGTCAAATTTTTATTGTTTAGTTAATATGCAAGCAAAATTTATTTTGAAATAAATAAGTTCATATTACTTATAAAACATTGACTTTGAATTTACCTGTCGCGTAAAGTATTTAAATATTTAAAACTATTAAAGTCGAACTTTGTAATGGAAGTGGTGTGACCAACAATAATTATGCAACATTGCGTAAGAACCAATGCAAATTGGCGAGATATACTTTTATGCATGCACAAATGATAAGATATGATGACAGAGTGATAAACTAATTAACTTCGTCTATCCCTGCTGATTGTGAGCATTAATTGCTAAACGGATCCAATTTGAGGAACATGCTGACTTCTACGTGGGCAGTTTCTTTGGTGGCCTGCATTGTTCTGGTGGCCCTGTACAAGGCCACACAGGCCACGGTTTACTACGTCAAGTGGATCGGGTTCGTGCTCCTCTTCTCACTTTTGGCGTTGGTCTCAATTCCAATAAATATTTTGAAGGGAGGGAGACGACCAGACGGGACGAATGTGTTGTAAGGAATTTAATACTACCGTAATTAGAGAGAAAATAATTAACGTAAGCTTTGCATATTTAGTGATGTATGTAATAGTATGGGCGTACAAAGTTGGAATAGAGTCAATGTATAATTTAGGATAGAGATTTTGAAAAAAAGTGTAAAACTTGAGACCTTACTCATAAATATGCAAAAACTTGTGTGAACTGTACGTATAAACTTATGTACATACGTATGCAGAATTGTGCGTATAAAATTGTTGATAACCACATACTTATACACATGAATTAACGATTACATATAAAGTGAACGAAGTAAGCTTAGGATCAGATTAGCAAGTGTATTAAGCTTACTTGTATGTATATGCATGTATGTATGCATGTATTTAATTTATTCATTGGAATATAAATTGTACTCACAGAGTGCGCATTCTTACATTTTACTTTTTTTAAGCGAAACGACCAGCGTAATTTCCCCTATCTGAAATTTGAAAAATTATGTACGCATGTATGTATATACATATGTACGTATGTATCGTCATCGTCCCTGGTTAAGCAATAGGCGTGGATACCATTGTAAAAATGAAATGGAGTATATGTACATATATTCCATTTCATATACATATATGTACCTCTAGGTTATTTATTTCGAATCAAGATATTATTTTTTAGTCAGTTTAGTTCTGGATAATTTGAAATTTAGTCAAATATTTAATTTCCAAATATGCATAATTATTGACAGAGGTTTCATCCCAGCCATTCGAGTCATATCGTGGATCGTGGGAGTCGAGTGGGTAATTGAAGGAAGGGAGCGTCTCGCCAAAAATGGGGGTTGCGTCGTAGTAGCAAATCATCAGAGTGCATTGGACTCGCTATGTAAATTAATGAATATACATGGCTATAAATTTATTTTGACTATGTAGAACGCCTCAGTAAACTAAACTCTATTAAATCCAGTAATCGCCGAACTATGGCCGACAATGAGGAAGACAAGCGTTCTCGTGAAGAAGAGCATCTTGTGGGTGTTTCCGTTCGGAATTGGGGTATGGTGAGATTCATACGAATAAATAGACATTTAGCAAACGAGTGTGGTATTTAGATTAGACAAGGTCATGACCTTTTACAAAGGGGTCAAGGTTAACCAAGACATTATTTGACACGTTCACATAGAAGACAGTTCATTTCTCCACAATTCTACTAAATAAATAAAACTCAACTATAGCATATTTTTGGCCCTTTCTACCAAAAAATGCTTGATGCACTGTCCTTTATCTCCAGGTGTGGTTAGCCGGCTACATTTTTATTGACCGTAGTAGCGCTGCAAGTTGTCGGGAAGGCATGAAGGAGGCGGGACAAGTAATGACAAAAACCGGAACAAAAATCTGGATATTTCCGGAAGGAACTAGATCAAAAAAGGGGGAACTGCAAGTATTCAAGAGGGGAGCATTCAAACTCGCCTTGGAAAATAAAGTACCAATAATTCCCGTAGTTATCGGACCCTACACTTTTATCCGGGACGAGGATAAGTGGTTTGGTCGAGGTGAGTTGGTTTAATTAAATTAATGGTTGATTAATTAAATTCTTACTTAAGTTAATTCAAATTGGTGTGAATTCTTGTATGCCAGGAAGAGTACACGTCTCTATCTTACCAGCAGTTGAGACTGGAAGTTATCAAAGAAAGGACGGGACACTGGAAATTGATAAGTTGTCCGATAACGTGCGAGATAAGATGAACTTGGCTTTTGCCCAGTTAACAAAACAGTTCGATCCGTTAAATTGCAATAATAATAATAACAATAATAAATGAACAGGAGATTCACGATTGAAATGAAAATATCCTATTCTTTTATGATGAGTGAAAAATTTTATTTATCAGAAATGCTCGTTGGATAATGTATGTACATATATTACGCATTCATGCCATTCATGCGTAATTTACACAGATATATATACTTATCAGCCTCCAAGTTCAGGCTAAAGTTTACCCCCATAGAATTTTCACGTTGTACCTACATAATGAGCAATAGTTTTAATTTAACACGATGACTACCTAATTTTCAGCAAACTACACACAACTCATCGAGCGTTTTATCATTAAACGTATGCATTTCTTACATAAATAATTTAGCTCGGCCCATCGGTCAGCTTATCATTTTATAAATTGTGATAATACCAGATAACACATTGACACCTCTCTCCCCAGCAATGCAACACAAACTTAACATAAGTTCAGTCATTCACCTAAAATCCTCGCAAAAAATCCTCTTCATCCAAACAATTTATTCTATTTGATCACCATGGCAGCAGGCCCAGATTTTCTTGGAAGTATAACCAAGTACAAATCCTACTTGGGCCATGGTTCCTTCGGATTTGTATTAATGGCAGAACACAAAGACAAAACTTGCACCGCAATAAAATTCATCTATCCTTCAGTCGACGACAAACAGAGACTTCAAAACGAACGTGAGTGCGGTGTAACAACCAATTTTCCCACACATGAGAACATCGTCACAGTTAAGAGTTCTATGGACAAAAAGACTCTGGACTCCACCACGCTAAAGACAATTTTCAGCCTTTGTCCAAAAAAAGTTCAAGCTGAATGGGACGATATGCCAAAACAAGTAAAAGACGTGGGATGGACTTGTATTCAGATGGAGCTCTGCGGAAAAAATTTGTCAGACTGGTTACGCCAACCGGAAACCACGATGGACTCAATATTCATCCAACTTAAGCAACTCCAAATTATTCAGGATTTAATTTCCGGTCTGAAGTTTCTACACACAAATAAAATTATTCACCGCGACTTGAAGCCGGGTAACGTCATGTTCACCTCGGAATACAAGCTCCCCATAAAAATAGGAGATTTCGGCCAGTGTCGCATCGTTCCGAGTCACGACAACCCTACTTTGACCGGAAGTAGCATAGGAACTAGATTTTACACCGCGCCGGAAGTTCGAAGTGGAAAATATTCCTATCAATCTGACCTGCTCTCGTTGGGATTAATAATTTGGGAAGTGGTCGCCTTAATTAAACCGGGTGAAAGAAGTACTCTATTCGACAGATTAGTTTTAGACGGAGAGACGCATCTAGTCGCAGAAAATCATCCCCTCATCGGAAACATTGCTGACCAACTTGTCATAAATTTAACTAGAAAGAAAGTTGAGGAAAGATTAAAGAATATTTATGATGTCGATAAAATTATTGATGTCTGGAAATCAGTACAAATTCCAGAGAAAACATTAACATGCCGGAATGGGGAAGATTTAGAGCTCTGTTTACGATTTGTGTCACCGGATTCAATCATAATCTTGGAAGAAGGTGTTTACGAGGGTCGTTTCACCCTTTTCCAAAGTAACGTAAAAATCGTGGGGAAAGGAGTAGGCAAAACGGAGATTAGAACAGCGAGTTATTTTGTAGGAAATGGAAATGACTGTTCAGTTTGCAATTTATCAGTGCATACAACAAACTCGGAGGGATTTGGCCTTTACATCAGTGGTTCGCGTAACGAATTGGATAGTATCAGTTCTAATGGAATCAATGTGCTTGGGGATGGTTGCAGGTTAACAAATATAAGTGTTAACAATACTACTACTGGAATAAAAGTGAATGGAAATGACAACCGTATTAATTGCGTAAAATTGACTAACATTGTGCATTGGTGCATTGTGCTGGAAAAGAGGTCAAGGAACTGTACCATTTCTGATCTAATTAGTGAAAATAATAAGCGAGGAATTTTAGTACGTGGAGAACATCATACTCTGAACGGGATAAACTTTGCAAATAGTGGTGAACCCAATAATCGCTACTTGTCGTCTGTTTGCTTTGAGGGAGGTGGCAATCACACAATTGATAAATTGACTTGCACCGGATACAGGGCTGACACTGGTTGGAATTTAGAAATCAAATCTTCCAATATTACTGTTCAAAACTGTACCTGTTTCGACGTGTTGGTTTTGGGAAGCAGTGTGACATTGAGCAAGGTTAACAGCAGAGATTTAATTAGAATTGAAGGGAATCCTAAAAATGTTGAGTTGGTGAAATGTGAGTCTAAAAAGTTGGAGTCAAAGGGTACCCTTACAATGACCGAGTGTGACTTTGGGAGTGTCAGTAGTAAGATGCGTCTGAGAACGGGGTCATTATAACTATGATTTTTGTCATCATTAAATTAAGTAGCTGTGTAGAAGACAAGAATGATAAAATATTTAAAATTAATAAATATTTAATTAAAGTTTTGTAATATTTATCTCTGATGCAAATATTTAAGTGAATTTATTTAATTGTGTATTGTGTATTATGCAATGCATGATATGTATATTATTCATATGATGCCTAAATATGTTAATACATACGCTCGAATAACAATTTATATAACCGAGCTGCATATAGGTGGCAGATAAGGAAGTTTGATATGATTAATCGATATTGGAGAATGAATTAAGTAACTAATTCTTTGTAACGAGTGCGGTAATTAATGTATTTAACAAATGCATGATGTAACAGGATACAAGTTATTATTACCAAAAAAGATTTATCCAGTCATGGTGATGATATCTGCAATTTACATACGTACTTAGCAATTCCAAATATATTTATGCAGTTGTGCTGCTTGTGCGATGATAAGAATTATTTATCTTCTCATTTAATGCAGTATAATTTACAAATGATGATTTGATCATTTTAATGTGTTTGAACAAACATGTTGTCATAAACGTTTAAGCCTGCCCATGAAGAGTAATAAGTATGATAGAGGGTGTTCCGGAAGTAATGCAACTTTGGTCAAATGCACATATAAACTCAACGAATGAATTTTTTAAAGCGAAATTTTGGCCAGAAAGGGACAAAGGTTAAAGCTAATTAAGTTTTGCTTCCAATGGTCCGTACACCCCTTCCGCCAAATTTGGAGACGTTTTTGTTGGGCGCTCACAATTAGTGCTTCGCCACTGTTTTTGGTCACCTTTTTTGAGATTTTTGACCACATGTGTTGAAATAAGTTCAAATTTTTGACTGAAGTTTTTCGATTACAATATTTTTTCTAGGATAGGAACTAAAATTTTTCAATAGGTCTTGTATTTGGCAAATTTGGGAACGTTGTTCACCTATCCCATGTTAATTGCATTTGATCCGTTTTAAGGCGGAGCGTGATACTTTGGCTTATATTTAATTTCCAGTTTTGCATAAATGGTTTTCTTGAAGGTGGGAGAGTTGTACTATGTGCAAATAAAAGCATTTTGATAATCTGAGCAGTAAATCGTCTTGTACAGGACGATCAATTTTGGTTAATTTTAATTACTTCAGGTCAAGGATTTTTTCTGCCCTCCTGCTTGCTACTTTTATTTTACTCTTGACTATATTTATAAGCTTCTAGAACCTTCTAGGATTTGATGTCCAACTTCTAAGCTTTCAAATAATGTATGGTGTTCGGTGAGAACTTGAAGTACTTCAGCGAATTTCGCTCCGACATAACAAATTTCTATCTACACGAAGTTTATTACTTTCGGGGCTGCCACACGAATGTACCGACCAGATATTTTTTGCGATTAGTCGTTTTTTGCAGCTCATGCCTTAGTATAACACAACAAATCGTCACTTTTGGAATTTCTTATTTTTTAAAGTGAACACAGCTCAATTTCTTGGAGCGCGTAACCACTTTTTCGAGGTAGTGGCAGACGATGGTTGCGAGTTGCTTGGTGGTATTTGACCTCATTTTGGAACGGATAGAGATATCGACTTCTGGTTTTCGGATTCTACTAGAATGTGTGGACTACAATATTCACCCAATTTCGAATTTGGGGCAAATTGATACCCTTGCATATATGCATTTTACCAAAGTTGCATTACTTCCGGAACACCCTCTAGTGTACAAATGAATAGTTTCGTACCTGTGATCACCTTTAAATATTTCGGACAATCTATAATATGGAGGAAAAACGCTTCCCATATCGAGTATCTTCGATCACCTTATCGACAGCAATTTTAGTGACATCGTGCATCCTAGCGATCACTCTATTTGCTAATCAACGGAGTTCAAACGTACTTGGAAGTTATTTTGGGTAATTTACTAGTTCAATAACTAATCCTAAGAACAATTGTAAATCAGTTAGCTGATTGCTTGTATCTTCCAGCACCTTGATTTATCTGGGGAGCTGTGTTTTGCTAATATTCGAGCTATGGAAAACGGACATTCTTCCAAAGTTTCTGGAAACATTGAAGGCAAAGATAATTCCATGTACAGGAGTGGAAAGGGATAATTCATTACTTAATTATGAAGTAATTCGACCCAGCAAAATCCATAATTATCTTGCATGGGGTAAGTTGCGACGAGTAGAATAGTCTACAGCGGAATTGTTTGCGCGTGTAACCTCATTTGCACATTAAATCTGCCATATTTTGACCAATTACCAAGGGACATAGAGTTTATACAACTTGGAAAGTCCATATAAAATGGGGATAGTGAGATTTATGCAACATTCGCAAATAATTACACTGTACGTTAGTTAATATAAGTCATATTTAGTGTCTACAATTCTTAGGTTTTTCCGTTGGCTATTTCCTCTTCCATTCGTGGCGAATTGCGAACGACTTTTATTACCTGTTCGATGACCGAATCGAATGTTTCAATGTATTTAATGTACTTCAAGACATAGCAAAACTGGTAATAGCGGCTTTAATATTATTGGCGATGGTTAACAAGGTCCGTAATATTTTTAACAATCGGAATTTAGACAAAAAAGCTAAAAACATACAATTTTTCAGGAACGTATATCTCAAAGCAATAATCTATCGTCATACTTCGTCTGGCCCATCGTTGGCGCGACCTGTTTCTACGCCGCGTTCAGCTACATCGTTGAGGAGATGGTGTGGGCCTATATCAGCATAATTCAAAAGTCCATAGACGACCCTGGATTCGGTTTGGACATTCCCGCTAACATTACACGGGGGGAGGATTATATTGAAGAGCTTTTCAAAATGAAGGCAATCTGTTTACAGCACAGTTTATGGGCTCGTGTATCCTTCAGGATTCTGACCATGGTGCCCTTCTCGGCGCAGTATTTTTCCCTAGCGTGCTTCTTTTCGTATATGGTTTGGCGCAATTTGGATTACGAAGGTATATACATATGCAAATTTGGAACGGCAAAAACAATTATTTTTCATATTGCATATCATCGTTGAAGAACCAATGGGGTATTCACGTTAATTTATTTATATGCGTCGCTTAGGAACATATGTATCTCCCCAACTGCGAAGAAGAGTTGCTATGCCAAAAACTATGAATCCTTGACTTTTAAGGAATATCAGACACAACAAGGCATCTATTATCGCCGTAACTACTTTTTTCGAAAATTCATTGTCAAGAGGAATTTTAATTTGCTTGCTCCCCTCATTTTCAATTCATGTATTTTCAATGCAAAGTATGTACCTAAGTCGTATGCACCTGATTTCGCAAACACCGAGAAGCCTTTTTGAGTGACGTGAATATCCACATTATCAGACATTAATTTTTTCCTCACAGATTTTTAAATACAGAATAAATATATTGAACGTGTATTTGAAAATCTGTAAGGTTGAAAACTTGTCTGATATTGGTTCTTAAACATCTATAATGAGGGTATTCATTACGAGTTCGCATGTTCGCATCGCAACATAACTTTTTCGAAATTGCGAATTTTGCGAAGCAACGAAGTGAAGACACTTTGCAAATGAAAAAGTTCGTAAAATTTTATTAAAATGTCTCGAATTTTGCAATGGGAAAAATACGTTAATTTCCATTAGTTACCGAAATTTTGCATCTGAAATTTACCAAATAAGAAAATTCAAAAATTTGAATGGCACAACTTTGGTAACTAATGGAGATTTATGGACTTTTCCCATTGCGAAATTTGTGAAAAATATTTTGCGAACTAAATACTAGCCTTGGAGATGCGCAAGTTCGCAAATCAATTTTCAAGCCAAATTGTTTTGCGAACTTGCGAACTTTATTTTTTTGCGAACGTTGCCAACGATGCGAACTCGAAATGAATACCCTCATTATATGTCAGTTCCAGAATTTCATGACCAACACGACTTGGACAGTCCACTGCTTGATGATAATTCTAGTCAAGAAAACAACGAAGCTATCCAAGATAGAGATGATGAAATTCGTCCTGCGACAAGTCTTCAACGACACAACTACCAGAATTTGCCACAACCACAGGATCTCTTACTATCATTTAGTGGTGCCGTTACAATAATCTTCTCTATTTCCTTAGTTATTATTGCAACTATTACCATATTCCATATCGGCATGGAAAAGGGATACAGATCTGAGTCAATTTGGCTGTACCACGGACAGGTTTCGATACTCCGTCTTATCATATTTATAATAGAGTGGACTTGAGTGGAGGCTATCCTGCTGGTGTAATGGGCAAAATTTAAGACCTGATCCATATCCGCGAGACATATTCCGATGGGATGTAACCTTACTAATTTTGCCTTTAATTCCGCTCGGAATTTTGTACACGTTACGGGCAGCCCCAGAACTAATGTTTTTGTCGGAAGTACCAAGAGAAAGTGTAATATCGATAGTTTTGAATGTATTTTTGGCCCTGCTAAATTGGGGTTTGGCTGCAAGTCATTCTTTTTTTACTGCACAATTATTTTGCAGATTACATTACTCTGTGCAACTTGAGAGAATCAAGTATATCATTTTGACATTTGGGATACTCAACTTGAGTTTGTGGTTTTGCTGGATATTGGAATGCAGACTGGTTACGATATATTTGGCAAGTACTCGAATTTATGGGGTGGTTAATTGGAGTATCATTGCATATTGTACGATTCCTTTTATACAGTTTGGCATAGCGCATAGTGCCACTTGTTTTTTTGAAATATATAGTAATATTAGGCTAGTACATACTCGTAGATAAATTGATACCCAGCCTATACAGTTATGTATGCATATACATACTTATCCTTCGATACACAATAAATAGATTTCAGAAGATGTAGTATCTAACAAGAATTTCCACAGGGATATTTATACTACTTTAATGTAAATATGTATACAAGTACATATGTACATACGTACGTGCATAGGTAACTGTTAAATTAGACAAAATAAAATACATAAATTTTTATTTTTATAAAAATAATGACTTTTAATTTAGACATTATTTTTTTAATGCGTGTGCACTTTTACATATGTATGAGTATTAAAAAGTGGAATTACATAGAATTATGTATTTCATATTAAACTGCATACTGATTAATGTATGCAGGGGAAAATCTTCGTAACTTCCTCCTCGTCGTCCGATTACAAAAATATGTTTCTATATTTAGTCGACATGATCATTATTGTACGTAAATACAATAAAGTATAGTAGCTACTTAATTTATATTCATGCCAGCGTTGGGAGCCGCATTTCCTTTAACATGGCATAAAATTTCTATGTCGTCATCCTTATTTTCCATCGTTTTTTGTGCGAGTATTTTAGCGGCTAAATTCCCCAGCAGGGTTGACACCACGCCCTCATTGGTACGACGATGTCGTAAGACATGCCTACAAGATTTTTAAATATCCAAAGTTCCAAACCAAAGGTTTAATTAATTGAGATACGTAATTAAAAAATAATGTCCTTAAAAATCGCTTTCCTCACCTATCTAACTCCACTTTAAGTAAGAAGACTCGAGTACATTCGGGTGAAATGCAGGGGTGCAGTGTAATATCCATTTTCTGCAATTCGTTCTTGCTGTACGCTATTTTGCAAATTTCTATTTCGTGTTTGACCAAGTTGAACTTTCGAGTAAACAGATTTTTGCAATTAGAGCATCTAAATTCTAATGGTTTCCTTAAACTGAGACGTGCTTTGGAATTTAACTTCTTGCTTGACTTTTTGGTGTATTTTCTGTCAAAAAAGGATAATTCAAGTAAAGTTTTTCTAAAATTGGAAATTTCTGAAGTACAAAATGGTACAAAGATTGCACTCACCTTTTGGGTTTGGTAACGGATTTTGAATTTGCTTTAGTTGTGGGAGGAGTTAAACTGGTTTGAATCTGGGGCTCGACATTGGCGTCATCCTCGGTTACCATGTCCTCCGTAATTTCTGTATCACCATCCGTTTCCCTGAATTCTGAAGTGCAATCGGAATCGAAATAATCTCCGGCGGAGTAATTGAATTCTTCGTCTTTGATGTCAATCATCGCCTCACTCTTTAAATCGGTTCTCTTTTTCGCGAGATTTTTTGAAGAATTTCCCGTGAAAATAATCGGAGGCAGTTGGATCTCACAGTTATCGTCTTGTGGGAGTTCCTCTTTAATTAGCTTTTCACTTTTCGCCAGTGCTGTTGTCGACGTAATGTCGGAGTTCAAATTGGATTCAGAATAATGGTTGATTACTGTAATAACGCCTTTTTTCTCTTCGTTGATGTCAGTCTTAACAATTTCGCTCCTCGTTTTCACCAAATTTGGTACGGAAGTTTCTGCGATATTCGGCACCTGAGTATTTGTAGATTTGCCTACAATTAATCCATTTAACTTAATTATTTCTACAAATTATTATCATTTTTATAAAATTCTCCTCACTTTTCGAAGTCACACTCTTATCTGCCGTTATCATACTTTCCCTCGCCTTTGTTATCAGATCATCTAGAGATTTTTGAAGCCAGACTATTTCATAATGCATGGCCCCCGCCTCCTCCACGATGGTTAAACAGGTCACACAAGTCTGGATATTCTTGATGAAATAGGTGTACGACTGAGGGGAAACTTTCTCTCGAAAGGGGGCCGTCATCAGTAAGTCCTTAAATGTGACTGCGACCTCCTCGTAGTCGGGAGACGACTCGCTTTCCGGTGCGATGTCGACGTTTCCGCAGACGATACATTTCGCAGGGGAAGGTTCGAGATCTGAGAGGTATTTTTCCACGACGGGATCCCGTTCCAAGGAGACGAAGGGGGAGCCATTTTTTGGAAAAGTTGTCATTTATGGGGCTGAAATAAATAAGACTTTCAAATTTCAATATTTATTTATATACTAACTTCAAATTATAATGCTAAAGGTGAACTAAAAATTCGAAAATTTAACTTTACCTTAACCTTTACCTGTGATTCAATCACAGATGATTGAATAATTTCTAAACAGATGTATTACGAATTACAATCGAATTTTGAATTTGAAGACAATTTTGTGAAAATCTGTAGAAAAACCAGTAAGTACGATATTTTCGTACTTGTGAAGTGAAAAAGTATACCACATCTGTATGAGATTTCAATTTTGAAATATTAATTACCACTGTGAACTAAAATTTAATTGGGAAATTAAAAATTAAATATGCGAAATAAATTTTCATAACAGAAATGATTCATTCGAGTGACATTTGTTTTCTTGCCGGGTTAAATCTCAATTCATCCTGAATCTTTGTTCATTTCCATGCAAAATGTTACAGTAGATTTCCATGCGTCCGAGTTTGAATGCAAACGTCGATAATATATATTTTTACTAAATGTATAAATAACTTTGAATTGTAGTTTGTAGTAAGTTGATAGAAATATTAATTTATGATATGATCGTGATTATGATTTAGTTATGAGATATGTAAATGTGTTTTGAGATGTTGTATCATATTCATCCTCAGTAATGTTGAACATTTTAAAAGTTTAACTTTTCAAACGGCAATAACGTAATAAATCAACACAAGTACACACTTAAAAAAATGGTATTGAATCATTACCGTTAAGTAATGTTGTGATAATTTTAAAAAAATCACTCAGAAATATATGGGTACCAATCCGGTAGTAAGTTATTACCAAATCAATACCAGTATAGAGTATACATATATACGTATTTATGTGACTCTACAATATTTTTACAGTGTTTATGCATACTTGATTTGAATTGTGGAATCTTATCGCTACATATAAACCATCGTGGTGTATGCATGTCTGTTGGCTAAAATTCTGTGAGGAGACAACTAAGCACAAAACTTGTGCCAATAAACTCGTCATATGTGACAAGATATAGTGCTTGATTATACGCTTTACTGGAGATCGACTTCGTATGAGTTACATATAAGAGCTCTTGTTTCATGAGGTCCATGAGAATTTCAGCTTGAACTTCGCACAAGAACCTCATCTCAATAACTTAAACTGTATAAAAACTCGTTGTACACTCATACATTTTCATGAACCCTCATGAAATGACTTGATCTTAAAACCTATTTAAGCCGCTTTCTTATCATTATTATTACTGAGGGTATTTCCATTTTATAGTCCGAGTCACTAACCTTAAGTTTCTGGGCGAAATACGTGTCGCCGAATATTTTACGTATTTTCATCGTAATCCTCACCCATTTCTGCTGAGGAGTGAAGTTCTAAATTCTAAGAAGTGATTTTTCAAGCCGTCAGCAGAGTTTCTTCGAACTGCTTTTTATCTGAAAGTTTGCAAAACACATCGAAAAATTTTGATGGCAATTTACAAATAGTGTGAATCTGAAGGTGGAAATCAAAAATAATGCAATCAAGGCACATAATTGGACGTAACTAGTTTGGATTTATGTAAAATAGCTCAAATTCCGAATATTAAAGAAAAATTGGCTGCGTACTGGGTGATGATTCAACCGGCGTCGGAGAAAAAGTTTCATGAACAGCACATATCTACTGATTCTCGCCGAAGTAGTGCATATCTTGTTGAGTAATTGACTTCAGTGTACGCCCATGGACCGTATAACTCTTTGCGAGTTGATTTTTGTTTCAACAATTTTCAATTGCCGTGTCCACATCAATTTTTCTTACGATCATCAGTTTTCTGATTTTTCGGGGGGCCTGCTTTGGGCGGCCATGGCACCTCCAGATTTAAGGCCTGCTGCCTTTTTACAACATAATTCTTTATTGCAGACACTATGGCTTTAGAAACAGTAATTCTTTCATCCCCGAATTGATTTGCTACTTTTTTATATGCCATTATAGCCTGGCAAACTGCTTCCACGCCATGTAACACTTTGGGGTAAATTTTAGGATCCACTTTTGGAATCTCGAAATGGAGCAAGCAGGAATTGGTTCAACTTGAACTAAGCTTTCCAAAGCACACGCAATATTTTATTTAGCGCTGTTGTTTCAAAAACTACGAGAAATTTGCGACTCGGACTATAAAATGGAAATACCCTGTATTAGAGAACTCTCAGCAGCCGAACACAAAGTTAACCATACACACACATAATAATCGTCAAACCAAGTAAGTAATACAGATTGTATCCAGTATTTTACGTATAATACCTTTAATTATTTTTAAATATCATTTTACACACATTGTAAAATTACAGCTAAATTTGTGAATTTGAATTTTTTGCAGGTATCAAACTCGTCAATTTTAATTTTCATATTTTTTTAAATGAAGACTGGAAACGGATATTTGGCCCTCATCCTGGCCACTTTGGTCCTGCTGACAAGCGCCCCAAGTCAGGTTGAGGGCGGTCCCGTCTCGGCCTCCCTTTGCATTGCGGGATGTAACGTGGCGCTCGGTGGGTGTGCCACGTGCGGCGTGGCTGCCGCCACCGTGACGGGAGGCGCCGCTGCACCAGCCGCTGGTTGGGCGTGCACGGTAGCGTACACCGCGTGCGTTGGGGCTTGTACTGCATCCACCGTTTTGCCCACGCCGTAAAAAATGGCAGCTCTAATTATGAATCGAATTGGAAGAGGTAAAAACTTAAATTTGTTGTATGTATTGCTAAACAGGAATTTAAAGTAATGAGGATAAAATTCATCCTTAGAAATCCATCCGTGTCTTCAATTCCATCGTCATTGTTATGGAAACAAGTCGACTAGTGAGGATCAGAATTTCGAATTACATATTTATTAATCAAATTTTATATTACTTACAAAATTCCAAAGTAGCAACATGCAGTTTATGCAACGAATCGTTTACATAGATGTGTTAATAAATAAATAAAACCTAGAAAATCACTTTTCGACATGGTTCATTTTTTTATGAAAATAATAAGGAATAAGTAAAATTTATTTTTTGAATATTTTATTTTATTTCATAACGTTTTGTGGCACGTATTAAAATATGACAAAAATACCCTACGTTAGCATCTCGTAATAATTCATTCTCAAATATCCACGATAGCCGAACTTGTTTCTAAATCAAATTACCAATCAGAATGAACTAAACTCGATAACAAACTGTCAACTTTGTGTGTAACATTACTACCAGCCTGGTAAGTGAAGAAACACTTGCATAATTGGAGTAGTGAGTTGTTGATGAATTAATGTGTGCAATTATATATTAATGTCAGGCATGGGATTGCGCTACAGTTGATTATATTCTTCATTATGTACATAAATATATGAGCATACATATATAGTACAATATCACATATACGCACATACATGCCAGCGTATCTACATACACATGCATATATTAACCAAATATTTAAAAAAGGTACATTGCCTACATAAAAATATTTTGAAAATTTTGCACCGTTTTTATAGAAACTAAAATTTTACAAACCTGTGTCCCTGCCCGTCATACTTATTTACTTAATCATGTCCCTTAATTAATATTATCATCACGATGTTCCATATCAAACTCGAATCTGCTTGATTTGCAAGCAAATGATAAATGTCACGCCAATTAAAAATTCATTAACTCTGGAAAATAAATCATAGGACTCTTTAATTAACGTTGAATCTTCCCAGTCTGACCTATTTATCTACATAATACGTAGTGTTTCATATTCCTGATATCGATATGAGTTTTACGTCGAAGCTTAACGTAATGAATATTATTTGAATAATTACATCCATATCTTCCGAAAATTATTCTACAAAGTATTTATGTTTCTAAATTTAACAGACACACTTTGTTAATATCGAATTGATTTTCCCTCCTTAATTAATGTGAGCGATGCAGTCTGATTGATGCAGAATGTCTGCACGACCAATGGAGTCCCGCGATCGATATAGTTCGACCCAAATTTTACCTGGAGGGCGGTACAGCCTCGAAGTTGTCGTTTCATCAAGGCTTTCTTCCCCCTTAACTGGCTCGATTTTTTCCTCAAGGTCGCCATGACCTTTTCCGACCCTGAGTTAACGAATGACGCCAACGTGAAGGCGAGCACATTGTTCGCCCCACAATTCAGCCCGATAAGGGGAAAGATCAGAAAGCCAGGCATCGTGATGTCCGAGTGGTGATCGATCGTCACGTACTGCGCGATTACCTGGATCCCTGGGACGAAGAGCATCATCACTGGAAGCAATCGGTCACGGAGGAAGGAATTCATTAACGTTTGCAGGATTTGGATGCGCTGGTAAAATTTTATGCAGGAGTTCATATTCGCTTCGGTTTGGATTGTCTTGATTTTCCTGGCGGAATGATATAAAATTTTAGTTTTTAAAGATAGTAGAAAGTATTTTCTTGTTGTTTATAGGGTAGAGTGGAATTTTTATAGCCGGTCACCTTATTTGCATATTTTGACGCATTAGCGAGAGACATAGAGTTTACTTATTAGCTCACCCTGCGTAGCATGAGAGCTATTGAATTCCTCTTGTCCGTCCGTCTGTCTGTCTGTCCGTCTGTTAACGAGTTTTTTGCATCAATTGATGCTAATTAATAAGTCCCAAGACTATTTTAACCCTAATTTGTAGCACAATTGGTATCAAAAAATCGTTAAGGCAAAATGGTACGAAATAATTGGAGAAATCGATGTATTCTGCACCAATTGTTAGAATTAACTGAAAGTTCTAGTTAGCGATGGACTCAACCTCGAAATCGTGTCAAAATTTAGTCCCAATTTTTACCATTTTGGCTGCACCATTGGTACAACATTATAGCAAATTTCTTTTATTTCCCGTTTATTCTGTACCATTGATGCAAAACTATGTAAAAATTATGCATCTATTTTGTCCGCTTATTTTGCACCTTCGGTGCAAAATTATAACCAACACATTATTCCAGGGTGAGCTACTTCTAACGTTACCACGGTTTATTAGCTCGCCCTGCGTAGCACGAGAGCTATTGAATTCCTCATTTCCGTCCGTCTGTCCGTCTGTCTGTTAACGAGTTTTTTTGCATGAATTGATGCTAATTAAAAATCCCCTTGACAATTATTGAATATGTTAGGCGCACCATTGGTATTGAACAAACCGAATCAAATTTTTTAATAAATTAATAGCACCATTGATATCTAACAATCGGGAACACAAAATGATGCGAAATAATTGGAGGCAAGGACGCAAAACGCACCAATAATGCAGAATATCCGGGAGAAATGATCATACAATTTTGACATAAATTTTTCAAAATTATCGTTGATCGTTGGTAGGTAATTCTGCACCAGTGATGCACAATTTTTGGACTCTTCTCGATGCATAATACTTATTGATCTATTTTGTTTAATTTTTCTGCACCATTGGTGCAACATTGCATAAAAATTATTGATCCACTTTGTTGGATTTTTCTGCACCATTGGTGCATAATTGCAAAAAATTATGTATCTATTTTGTTGCATTTTTCTGCACCTTTGGGGCAAGTTATAACCAAATCATTATTACAGGGTGAGCTACTTCTAACGTTACTACGGTTTATTCAACATGAAAAGCCCGTATCTCCGAAAATGGGCAATGTGAGATTTATGCAAATGAGGTGCAACAATAAGTGTACACAGTCCAACCATAAGTTCTCGTGAATGCATTTCCGGTGATAGATTGCAAAGTACTAAAGCTATCTGATAGAAATTTTTGTGGATGAACAAGGTATTAATATTGTTTATAAATCATAACTTCTTTTTCACAATTTCCTCCTCGGGCTTGTACACAACGCATAAGTCGTGGCGGAAACTGCTCGATCTCGGCACGCGCGGATTTCGTGGGAAAAGCGCCCAGATCTTAAGTAAGTGTGACCTCAGGCCTTGCACACTTGGGTGAGATTTAGAGCATATCTATATCTATTATTTTGATCACCAGTCATAATTTAGCGCATGAAGATCTGCAGATGCTGAGCACCGTTCTACGGATAAAAAAAGTCATGAAAATTCGTCTGAAGCAAGTTTTGGACAATTTTGGACCTTGCGCAGGAACTTAGTCTTATTGAAAGGTCCAATGTTGATTTTCGGAGGGTCCAGGGTACAGATTATTAACGTTTGGCTCTAGGACACTCTGAAAATAATTCTTGGCTCCAACTTTTACACTTTGCGGTAAAAAACAGAGATTTCCTTTCTCCAGGCAACTTGCTCCCATTCACACCATGGTGATGACTTCGTATTGACTTCCGCATACTTAAACGGATGTCAGACTTCCGTAGAACAAATATCTGGCCATTTTTTCTATTTAATTTTTCGCCAACGCTGAAAAGTCTGAAATACTTTTGGCACGAAAATTGGCGCGTACCACGATCGAGCAGTGGCCGTCACGAGTTATGTCTTATCTAAAAAGCCCTTGGACGAAATCTTGAAAAAGAAGTTATGATTTCTAAACAATATTAATACCTTGTTAATCCATAAAAATTTCGAACCGATAGCTTTAATACTTTGATATTTATCACCGGAAATGCATTCAGGGGAACTTATGACCCCACTATGTACATATACATTTCGCTTAACCGTCTTATTTATAACCTTACCCCTCCAGGATCCCGACGATGCTCAATATGGCCACGACTCCGGTAAGAAATGCGTAGATGATCCAGGTCCCTCCAGCCATCAGGATATGCCAAACCATCCACGCTTCGAATAGATGCAAGGTCAACCGTACTGCACTGAATTGCATCCCATTGTTGCAGTATTGTTGCATCGACACGATGAATGGAGCCGTACAAGGGGCATACGTCAGTAGTGAGAATAGCAGGAGGACAATTACAGGTAGAGAGAATTCCGCCGTAGGTATGAAAATCCGCATCATTTTAGCGCCAAGGGTCAGCAGCGGGGGTTGGTTGTCTAGTAAATAATTCGAAAATTGTACTGCACTCTTAGAAGTCCAATATTAAACTAATATGACGCTGTAGTCATATGTGTATTACTCCGCCAAAGCGGTATGACAAGTAAAACTAGGTACTAATAGACTGGTATTAAAGTTTTACCGCATCGGTGGTAAATTTGTATCGAGCGGTATAATTTTCATACCAAACGGTGGCAACTTTAATACCGAGAAGCCAATACCTGCCTAAATATACCAGATTTCTAATAGTGCATCCGATTTCATAAAATTCGGATCACCTTACCCACTAAAACGTATTTCTCATAGTCCAGAAACGAGTTGAACATTTGAATCCCTGAAATATCCAGGTTCCAATTCCACCTTTGAATGCAACAAAAGAAAAACAGAGAAAAGAAGACGAAGCCCTGAAATTTTTCACTTAACGAGAGCCACCCGAAGCAAATATTGACAAACATTGCCCCCACATAGGTAAAGGAGAGTACACATTGGAAACGAAATGTGCGAATTTGACGTACATTTTTGGTCAGAATGACACGTCCCGACCTCTTGTCAAACTCTAGCGGTAGACATTGTGTAAATTTACAAGCGCGAAGATGGAATTTCAGGAATTTGAGGTATGCTGTGTACATCTTGGGAGCTACGGGCGTACTGCAAATTTAGAATTGGTGATGAACTTTTGTTGTACGTACGTAGTTTTTGTCCCTTTAATTAAGGATACTTGGTGTTTAATTCGCCTTATTTTTCCCGTTATCAACAAGTAAATATACAATCGTAACGAGGTAGACGGCATAAATAGAGTAGTGTTGATTCTATAAGTGATTGGGTGATTATTCATAGAGCCAATTTAGCTGTTCGTATGTATCGACCAAGGAAACAAAACACTTATTTGCATATTTCAAACGGGGGGAGAATTTGCTTGTAGAATTAATGTTATAGGGATGTCGTTGTGAGAAACTTCGGGTTTTCGCGAATCGCAAGTGATACTCGGACTAACGAACGGATAGATTCATTTATCGATCTTACAATTTAATTAATTAAGATGGCATCGACCTAGGATTAAATCTTAGACTTTCTTAGAATAGAATCGCCGCAAAAGCATCTTTTTGCTGGCAAAACAACTCGGGATGTTTTTATTTCACAAAATCAGCCTCTCCATCAAAAGCGATAGAAATTACAGAACTATGTAAATACATCGAAATAAAATCATAATATCATAAAAGGACTGTGATTATTTTACCTTTGAGAAACAATATTTACAGAATACTCTCACCACACAAATGTTAAACCTTCGCTTTGTATCATCAATAATCATTTTTTACAACTTTTCAGAAAAATTGGTGTCGTCTTTAGAACATGGTAAACATTGTATATATACTATAAAAAATATTAAATGTAGAAAAACCAATATTCGGAAATCGCCTTAGCAATCAGTAAGATTATTTGTAATTTGTATAACAATATGTGCATGCCAAATGTGAAGATTCTTTATGTATATTAAAAATATCCTAAATAGAAAAATATGTAGTCGCATTATGTCAAGGAGCAATTTTTCACTGTAGGTAATTACAGGAAAACATGAAGTAATTGCATGAAATCATTAGGGCTTCATGCACATTAAGGCACTACAAGATACCTACTTAATTTTGTATGACACGTCAAGCCATAACTCAAAAGCTCTGAGGTTTATGTATGTCCATGCAATAAATTGTTGTGAGGACAAAGTGCATGCAATGTTGCATAGGTACATATGTATGCAAATTAAATGCATATATAAGCTAGTTTGGCTGCATACGTTTAAAGACAACCTGTTTGATTTTTTGATACCTTCAAAATTGGAGAGCTGGAAGCTTGCATAACCTAATTAAAATCGTCAAAAATTACCTTGATGAGTAATGACTCGAATATCTTTAACGATATCATTAATGGATGGTCAAGATATTATAATTATCTAATATCTAATTCTTATATTTATATATGTATAACTACAGATAGAATTTGTATCTTGTATATTTATTAATTAGATCTGTCGGTCCTTCATTGTTTCTTAAAACTACGCACGTACACACATACTATCCTCGCATTTAGGCGTGTCACCTCAAATCTCAATAGCCAATTTTCGGCGATACAGACTTTCCATGTTGAGTAAACTCTATGACTCACGAATGCGTTAAAATATGCAAATGAGGTGACAGAGCAGAGTACGAGGACAGTACATACATACATAATTGTGTTATTTGATCGAATTAAATTTGAGTACGCATTCAAATTGGGTTCAAATAGGGAATAAAGTTTGCACTGAGGTGTCTAGATCCACTTGTCTAGAGATTCATAGTACACAAGTGTAATTTTGAAGGTACATACATACATAGAAAATAAAAATGGTGGGTAATAAATTGATGACCATAGCAGTAAAGTCACGTCAGATATGCACTTCGGTAAGTCCTTAATTCTCTGTTACTGGATTATTTAGAGTATGTATACATACTCATTAATGATTAAGTAAATAAGGTGGCATGATATTTTCATGGGACTGGTATGCAAATCAGGTACCTGTATTTCTACCACAAGTGCTCCAAACTTAGCAATTAAGCCATACATATTTCCAGAATATACATTTCCTTAATATATATTTGTATATCCTATCTAACACTTTGTTGGCAGTTTTAATAGAATTCAGATTTACAGTACTTTCTGGGGGTACATACAGCGAAATAATTGGACCCAATCCCCTCGTTGAATAATTAGTCTCTATGAATGCATTAATTAAACCTGATGAGAGCATAATTATTTACATAAGTTGACTTTTCGGTACCTTAAAATGCGGAAAACATTTAAGGGGACGTTCATAAATTCGAGAGGGGGAGGGGGGATATAAAGCTCCAATGATGCCTATGTGACACGCGTTAGAAAGGTCTAGAAAATAGCCATTTTTACGTTTCATAATTTATGAACGTCCCCTAATACGTCTCACGTTGTCAACCACATTTGCATACTGACTGACAAGGGACACTCACGACCTGTCGTTTGAGTCCAGAGTACCCACTATGTTTTTTAGAATCTAGTAGGACCCCAGATGAAGGATCCATTCATATTTCCGTGTAAAACTCATATTTGGCGTCGTTCCGTGGCGCCAAATTCGCCAAATTTGAATGTTTTTATTTTTGAAACCGCCATAACTTTTGAAATCCTGGACAGATTTTCAAAATTTTTGGCAAAAATCATGACAAGGAGTTCAACTTTCTTACCCCATGAAATTTTTTCCAAAATTATCGCTTTTAACTTTTCGCAAAATTTCGTAATTTTCATAGAAATGGGCCCAGCCAACAATTCGGCCAAAATTCTTTGAAATAATTCTGTACGAACAGGTCGAAATTACACCGAGCTCGAAAGCTGCCAGAATTCTTGACGAATTCGATACGATTTCACTGCGAATTCGCACAGAAAAATCTTCAACGAATGTAGGCCGAAAGGTGACCGAAATTCGTTCCGATTTCTTTGTGATTTCACTCCGAATTCTTAAAAGAAAATCTTGATCGAATTTAGACAGAAAGATAGCCCGAGTTCGTCACGATTTCTTGGAGATTTCGGTAATCTCAATTAGAGTGTACGAATTTTTAAGGAATTCTAACTAAGGCCGCAGTCTGTTCTTCGAGGTGGCCATGAGGCCACGCAATTTATTACTGCTCTCCATCAGACAGAAACAGGATTTTAAAGAACAACTATAATTTGGAAATTTATCTGAATAATAAATCCTCTCTCCAAATTCGGACCTGGTAAGTATTTGATTTTGTAAAATGTTGTAGCAAGTTTTATCTCTATTTCGTTTTGCTTTTGGTAATTGTTCTCTGGGGTATTCAGATCACCATCGTCTCTGGAGGAGTGAGAGGATAAGAGGAAGTCGATGTAATTTGCAAGATGCCGAAAAAATTGCTGACTGACGATTTATTGCCAAAATATAGTCTACAAGGAATGAAGAAAAAGCTTTCGCTTTCTACGCCGGCAGATATCAAAGATATCCTTTACAGTAAGTAGGAATAACTAAGGAGAATCATATTATGTGTATATAATTAGGATAGATTTCTTCCCTTGAATTTATTACAATTTTTTAATTATTAGGGGGTGCAGCAAATCTGATGAGCCCTTTGCTACCTGACTTTGCAAAATTTGATGACGGAATCTCGAAGGAGTTGACTTAGGACCGTGATCATATGTATAAAAGCAATAAGTGAGTTTTATGTTCTTTGCCATTAAATTTTGCAATAAAATTTTGCTTCAAATTTTCAAGTTTTTTGCTATTATCAATATATTGTGCAAAATATTTAAAACCTGTTTTAATTTCACAGGAAACAGCCAGTCAGCAACAACCTGTCCTCGCCATCATCACAGAATTAATTTACAAATAATTAGCTTATTTTTTGTTATGGTCATCTAAGCAATAAAATAATTCAAAAGAACAAATCATTTATCCAATTTTTCATTTCAATGTAAATCGTAGTGATTTCGGGCAGAATTCGTACAAAATTCATTAGGATTTCTATCAGAAATCAACACGAAGTCTTGCAAGAATCGCAAAGAATTCGTACAGAATTCGGCGTAAAAATTCGTGACGAATCGTCAAGAAATCTGTAAGATTCTGCGGACATTTCCCACCGATTTCTTCGGGATTTCTGCACGAATCGTCAAGAAATCGATCCCGAATAGGTCGAAAATTGTGGCCGAATTGATCCCGAAAACACAAAGAATTGTTGGCTGGGGGGGTTCGTCGAAAAAATGCTAAAAATATTTCAAAAATTGAAAATTTTTTATTTTAATTTTTTTCTCAAAAATGTCGACTTTTGTGATCATTTTAAGCATAAAATTTTGAAAATCCGACATAAACTTCAAAAGTTATGGGGGTTTGAAATTGGTCGAAAATGCAAATTTTTAAGTTTGGCGCCGCGCCATGGCGCCAAATATGAGTTTTACACGGAAATAAGAATGAATCCTTCATCTGGGGTCCTAGTAGATTCTAAAAAACATAGTGGGTACTCTCGACTCAAACGACAGGTCGTGAGTGTCCCTTGTGAGACGTATTCAACTGCAATAATTGAAAATTTTTGAGTTTCTTCTCCAGTCAAACTTTTCCGATGCATTCTATTTATAATAACGTTAAGCATGCCGTCTTGTTAGGTAGATGCATACGTATGTATTTGCATATCACTTACATAAACCTTGTTAAGGTTACATTTTACTTAATGTTATACAATTTGTGTAGGAATTTTCCACACATCTTTGGCATATAAGGACCTCTAAATAAGTAAAACATTAACCAAAAATCGCATTACATATTAAGTTTCGGTGTCGGCCACACAAACAAAATGGGTCCGTCCAACTCAATTTTACAATTTCTGAACACCATTCCAACACCGACGATAGTGATTGCCAACTTGAAAAACTTAGTTGTCAGAATTACGACAGTTTTAGCCTTGTTTAATCACGGTTATGATTCCGTGGTGAATCCCAACCCATTGCTTCGTTCGTGTAATAATTATGACTTCATTGTTGGTTTGTCTTAAATAAATATGTTCAAATTTAAAATTATATATTCAGAAATTGAGTGTGATCTTAATCTGTATTTTTTAAAGTGGGAGGAAGTTCAGCAGGAGCAGTCGTGGCGAATCGACTCTCAGCAAATCCAAATTTCACAGGTAGTCTTTAAAAAATACACTCCGGTAGCAAAGTACCACCTGGATTGTATATATGCGTCGGTATATGTGACTCTATAGTTTTAAATAAAAATGTGGTGCAGCCACATATATCCTCCGTACTAGTATTGATTTAATAATAACTTGTTACCCTATTGGTAATGGTTTCGTTTCTGAGTGGTGAGTTTTTCCATCGTTAATGGACGTTATTTAATACCAGTGTTGACTGAATCATATACCTAGTACCGGCTAAAGTTCTGTTATAAGATTTCCCGGGTAAATTAAGCAGGCGAACAATTTTTTTTAGAAAGTTGTACTATTTTTTATTGAAATCTCCATGCAGTTGTCCTTCAGAAACTATGTTTCAAAAATTTTTGCGACCCAGATCTGAGAACTTGGCCTGTTTCTATTTTTCAGCAACATTTTAGTGAGCATGACAATCGACATTTTTAAATTGTTCAGTAAAAATCGGAATTGATTGTAAGATGGTCGACCGTACCATAAAATGATGCAGTGACACTGGCAGTGTCGATGACCGCAAAAGAAGTGGAAGGGGACGGCCAAAAAGGTTACCAAAATTAACCAAGGCGCAAAAAACTGGATTCGTCCGAATCTATGCCGAGCCCTAAGAATATTTCCCTCACAAATGAATGGATCAAGTAAAAGTAAGTCCCGGGCCCATAAACTGGACCTTGGACTTATGCCTTCAAGACATGAGGAGAAACACTTCCTAACTACACGCCAAGTATAAACAGACCCATCAGAACCCGGGCGCTGATCATGCGGTACGAGCTTGAAAAATGGAAACGGATATTTTCAACAAATGAGCCAAACTTTATGGGTGAGGCCAAATAAAATAGCAGAAATACCGTTTCTACACCCCAGCAGTCTAGACTATTCGTTAAAATTTCAAAAATGTTCACCGTACCTACCATTCTGGTTTTACGATTTTTTGATTGGACATGCGTTGGACTGGGTCGAAAAAGTGGATTTTCTTCCTCTGGGGGTAAAATGTCGTATCAAAAATTTTTTTTTCAGTTTTCAAGCGAGTTGCGAGACCCGTGAACCACAACCTATTCAAAAACAGCGAAGTGACATTCAAGCAGGGCTCTCGTCCTATTCATGAGGCCAAGATGTTAATTGGGTGGTTGAAATCAAAAATTCCTAACTCCAGTTCGGATCAAGAAAAAAAATCACTGCCGCCGAAGCTTAGGCTTCTGAACTATGACATATTTTCCAAACTGGAGCTAGGGGTGTGTGTAAAACTCCACACAAGTTTGGAATCCATAAAAAATTCAACGGTCTAGAAATAAGGCCAATCTCCCCTGGAACGCTTGCGTACTCCGATCGAGTGGTTGATACCAAGACTTCTGGCTCGTGTAGCCTGAAAGATTGACATTTTGAAAAGTGAATAGTGTTTCTTATACGAAATTTCATTGGCTTTTCAATTTTATACTTATTTTTTCGAAATTCAATAAATTGGGTTAGCTACAATGGGTTTTCCTTATGACAGTTCTTTTGCGGGTACTGGGTATGTACATATGTACTCCGGAGAGTAATGATTCAATACCATTTTTCTAAAAGAGTATACAGCCATGGCAGTAAATTTATTATTGACTGGTTGAAATTTGTTACCAAACTGAAAATATTTTGAAGTCCCATACATTAAAAATCAACTTATTACCAGCGTGGTAGTAAACTTATGTACTACCACAAATTTATTTCCATGACGGTAGAGTCACATACACACACATATACTCTAGCTGGTAATACTTTTTTACCGGATTATTTATAGTGTAAAAAATTGTTTTTTGAGATTATGAAATTATTTATCAGTCCTGCTACTGGAGGCTGGTGGTAATCCCACCCTGTTAAATTCAATCCCAGCCTTGTCGTTGTACAACATACATCATCCTGCCACCGACTGGCTCACGGCTTCCGAGCCATCAACTACTTCCTGTCAAGCGTGCAAAAATTACGTAAGAAAATTCAGTATTTGCATCTGATGCGTGGGTTCGATTTATGGTACAAATGCCTTTGCTGGGAAAGCGGGGGACGAAAACAAGAAAAAAATTGCGTCAGATATCCTGCGGAAATTTGTTTTAATTTCCGAGACTTTCCGAGCATATTTTTTTAGGAAATTACGAACTTTTTTGGGAATTTTCGAGGACTTTTGATGGACCTCGTTTGGGTCTATTTTTAGGAATTTCCCGGGATTTCCCCCCGCGTTTTCTGGGATTTTACTTCCACCATTATCTGGAATTTTATTTCCCCATTTTCCGGGATCTTATTCCTCCCATTTCCCCGAAAACAAATCGAACCTACGATTTGAAATGAAATATCATAAACAGTTCATATGTGGCACGCATTATTTAGTCGGTCCAAATGCCGAGGGGGAAAATGCTGGGTGGTACGAGCAGCTTGAATGTCATGGCGTACATGAGAGGAAATCCGAATGACTTTGACAACTGGGCGAAGCTTACCGGAGATCTGTCCTGGTCGTATGAAAATGTGCTGCCATACTTCAAAAAGTCGGAGGATTACAGTGGAAATTATCCTGACCGTATGTCCTTAATTCTACGCTGGGATGAGACGCGTAGCTCACGAAGAAATTTGTAATCCAGTAATCTCTCAATTTTTCAAAAGTTATTTTTTTTAGTTTACAAATATCACAGAGTTTACTGGGTTACAAAAACCAGACTGAATTAGAGAGGGTATTCAGAATTTCCTTCATATGTACATATCCTTCGTATCGTAAAATAGTATACGAAGAAAAACAAGGGGTAAAAATCGTAACCTTTTTAGTGACGGAATTTTTCTTACATACAAAATCTCGTCACCATCGTAACTTCATATTTTACAATGGGAAAAATACTAAGGAATACTGAATACCCTTAGAGTTCGTTAAAGTGATAAATTCAGATATTTATTTATCCCCCTAAATTTGTATGTAGCCAAGTACCATGGAACTGGGGGACCCTTAGCGGTCACTCCTCCACTTGATGAACCCATAATAAAAGATTGGATGTCCGCCGCGAGAGAGTTGGGATTCCAGAATTCGGATCCAAATGCGTACCAGACATCAAGTGAGTTTGAATAATGAATCAATTGAGGTATTGACGAGTTCGCATTGTTACATAGTAACATAAACGTTTGCAAAAAAATTGGCTTGAAAATTCATTCACGAACTTGCAAATTTCCAGGCCTAGTATTTACAGTGGAAGTATTTGTGCGTGTCACCTAATTTCCATAAATCTTACTTTGCCCATTTTCGACGATACGGGGTTTCCATGTTCAATAGCATATTTCTCTTGCGTAAAAATGTGCAAATTTTTATGTAGGTGACAGACACAAATAATGTCACTGTTCATTTTCAAAAGTAAATTTGTTTGTTGCTATACTAACATGCCACCTCGTAATGGACACCCTCAGTAATTTGCATAATTTCAATTTACTATTATGTAAATATAATAAATGAATTTGTTACTCAAGCATTTACCCCTGTCGACCGAAACACATGTATAGGAAGTTAGCCCGGCCCAGCCCAGAATTTAAATTTTTTAATTTTTAAGCTTTCCCGCTGTCGCTGGGGATGATTTGACGACTGAAATGTGTTCCCTAACACTTCTAAATAATTCCCTAAAATTTTCAGCCAAATCGGTGGCGGGAAACTTTTGAAAAATACGAAAATGTCGTTTTTTGCCCTGCACCCTCGATTTTAATGAATTTTCATAATTTGTAAAGTGCGCGCGGGCGTGTTCTGATTGCTGAAATATCTTCAGGGATACTTGGAGAGTATTTCCTGAAAGTTTCAAGAAAATCGAACGTCGGGGACCCCTTCCAAAATAGACAAATGTCCTATTTTTATCCCCCCAAACCCTGCTTTCTCTTTTCTAATGAATTTTAACAATTTCAAAAGTGCGTGTGGCCGTGTTCGGATTTCTGAAATATCTTCAGGGATAACTGACGTGTATTTCCTCAAGGTTTCAAAAAAATCGTACGTCATGGACCCCTTCCAAAATCGACGAATGACATTTTTATCCTCTCTGTCCCAGCTTTCTCTTGTTTAATTTATTATGACAAAAACTATGCTAATAATTGTTTCCCATTTTTTGAAATAGTTACATCACGGGCAAATAACTTCAGAGCTAAGCCATATTTCTTTAAAAATGATGTTGTTAACGTAATTTATATAAATTTGTTCAAGCTGTAATATATAGTATTTTACGATTTTGGCAGTAATGTTATTTGAACCCTTTACCAACAGCAACGCAAAATTAAACAAGTGTTGCCCGAGTTGGAACTTGACAAGGTTCCCAATGGCAACGGGTCGTCATGTTTAGGCAATCTATTAATGCTCAACTCGGGTTTTTGACTTTACATATGCATGCACGTGTATGAAAAGTACATACGTAGTCCATTAACGTTGTCATGGAGACGGACTGACTTGGCTGTTTACCGTCTTGCTGTTATATTTATGGTAGATTTACATATAAACAGTCATCGTAGTATTATGCATGTTGTAATATTTCACCTACCGAATTGGCATTCTCTGGGTTCTGAGTGGTAAATTTTTTATTACCACGACATTTCTACACGGTAATGTTCGTTATTGTCCTGCGGATAGAGTCATACTGATAGGTAGTGCGGTGAGTAATGATTTATTGGTTCTTTTTTAATAGTGCGTTTAGGTGTGGGGCCTTATATTAGTCATGTGATCTATTGGGAAACTATGACCACTACCCCTTGTGTGTGACCTCTGTGGAGGGGCCTAGACCCTTGGTTTCTCCACAGTACTCGGGAAGAGATATAATAACTATTTCTCGCACGTACAAGGATAACCACCCGGATATCCAAGCTCAAGATGGAAACACTTTTTACGTATTTTCCCAGCTTGCACGTTGATAATCACATCGCTGCTATTTTTTATAATTTTGAAAGTTGCTTGCCTATATGAATTACTTTGCCGTGCTTCAGAAATTATGCCTGCGTTTAACAGAATTAAAATACTTAATTAATTTACAACTTAGATAAATAGTTACATACATACATAGTTTATTATTATCAATAAAATTTTCTCATTTATTTAAGTATCATTTTGTCGTGTCAATTTTATTTGTTTAATATTCTGAATTTAATACATACACTATAAATACTATATAATATTTAGAATTCTTTCAGAATAACTGTAAATTAATAGAAGAATTTTGGCGAAGGAAACAAAATCACGGCAAGGATGCCTGAGCACTATGTATTTAATTTAGACAAAGCTGTAAAATTGAATACAAATAAAAAGTTTGTGACGATATCAAAAGATCCAATTTAAACTCTAAATTCTATTATTAAGTTTGGAGCATTTTAGAAGAAAATTCTTCAGTGTGACTAACTGAATTTAAAATGTAATTTACAAAATATAAAACTTCATGAAACGATTTTATAATGGCATAAATTAACAATATACATGTTCAATGTGTGAATAAAACGTTGACGTGAATAAAATGTTGTATAAAACTATTATCTGCATATGCACATATTCATATGTAATTTTTTTACGCAAGTAATAATTTTAATCCCACAAGAACGACCAAACCTTGAGAAGGCGACGAAGGAACCGAGGTGTTTTCTTCTTCCCATATTTCGTGCACCTCTTGCACTCGACCTCAACATAAATAGGGTCCTGCAATTGAAGGGGGTCCACTTGAAGGATCCGAAAAATTTCTTCTGAATTTGCATTCAGGCGAGAAAGAAGCTTTGTCCTACTAGGTTCGCCTAATATGGAGAGGTCCGGACGGATTTGATGTACTACAAGGTAAATAATGTCAGGATTAGGATTTGAAATTATTATACAGGATTTAAAAATATCTGTCACATGCGAAATACAGTTAGCCAACTTTTATGATGTATGCAAATTACACGATTTAACTTACAAATCTCGAAGCAGTCCATCGCACTTGATGCATGAAAATATTTTAGGAGATTCCTATGAGCCACATCGTAATGTGAAATAAAATGGTACGTTAAAATCCCACATAATGCTTGTGTCTGGTCGTCTAGGTCAGACAGGTTGATCGCAGAATTTTGGAGGGAGAATACAGAATCCATATTTAAAAAAACTGGGACTGAAATCTCCAATGAGTGCGTGAAAAATAATTGCGAGTCGTCAGAAAAATTAATCTGGATGTGGCTACTCCGTAGCTTAACAATCTGTAAACTCAGATATTTTCTTCTTACAACCTACATACATTGTTAGCCGAGTAATCGTAAAATATATTACGTGCCTGCCTGCAAAATGTGCAATTGCATCACATATTATTAAAACTAATTTACCGTGTGCTTGAATCTGAGACATAAAACTGATCTAATTTTAGTGGTAGCATGTATGCATATCAATATAATTTCATAATAATGAAGATGATGATGACACTAATGTAATGGCAGATTGAGAATGTATGGGTAAGTTTGCTTGCAAAACATTCTTAGAAATAATGTTGCCCTTTTGAAAAGTGAATGCACTTTGCATTCTATATTAAGTAACCAACACTCTAAAAAATCCAGTAACAAGGCAATTGCCAGTTGATCATGATGACGTTACCGCCATGGTAATAATTGAGAGTGGTAGTAAATTTGTTACCGCGCAGGTAATGAGTGCACCCAAAAATATTACCAGAGTGGTATAAATTTACTATAACCTGGTAACAAATTTATTGACATGGCAGTAGTCGCATCTGGGTTATGGCAGAGTTTATTAAATTTTACGGGATATAGAACTGAGGCTCTGTTTTAGTTTGAAAATTGTGACATTGCTTTTAAGTGTGCAGGGATGCGTCACACCAGACTATGTGAAATCCTACTTTAATAAATGTATTTAATGTTTGCTATGTTAGATACATATGTATATGTATGCATATATCTTTATAAACGGATTTTCGTAGGTGAACCAATTTATAAAATAATCGCTACCGGCGTACCCTTGTTAAACAGTCCAGTGAACTACAACCTCCAAGGTAAATCGCCATTAAATAATTACAAATTCTAGTAAATATTTAAAAGAACATTAACCTTTTCAAATATGACTCTAATGAGTGTGCGATTTCGACCTCCATAAAACGGCTTCAAACGGAGATGTGAGCAATGGGACGAACGGATTATATTAGAAGGATCCGTGTCATCTCTAAATTAATGAGCAATGCAATTTTTGAGTAACCAACGAATATTGCACTCGGATGCAATAATATGAAACTTCTTATATGTGTATAAACAGCATGCTACATAACTCCATTTAAGCAATTTATGCAAGGAGAGTTCCTATCCAGTCAAAAGTTGGCATCTACATTAGAATCTTCACGTCAAACATGTTTTCGCCAAAGTCCCCAAATTTTAAAATTGATTTTCCGGAATTAATTTCCGAGAAAAAAATAATATTCCCACAAGTTTTCATCCATCGTCGGAAGGAACAAAGTGGATTGAAGAAACATATTCTAAAGTGCCACGTGGAAAAATCAAACGTCGAGAGTGAACTTCAGGTAAGTTGAAATATGAAATAATGAGCCCGGTTATTCCTTCTAAGTTTATAAAATTTTGCCAATAGATATCCCATAAAATTTCAGGGTTTTCGAAAAAAAGTGAAATACTTTGCAAATAATGAGAAACAAAATTTCAACTATTTTTCAAAAACATAAAATAACATTTCGTATTTTTTGTGTTAAAAAATACTTGGAAATATTGCTTTACTCTTTAATATTTCACAAAAACTCGACCAGCCTGAACAAAATGATTTTTATTACATAGATACAAAATAACAAAAATTTAACAATGAATTAAAAAAAAATATGCAGGTCCCTCAGCCAGCTACCGAAGATATACAATCGTATACAGGACACCAACCAGTTAACACTCCAGGAACTTTGAAGTCACCGGAGAGACGTTACAAAGTAACGCAATTAAGAACCCATGCACCTCCATTTCAAGCCCCAAAAATACCAGCAACCACTTTTAAGACGCGTGGTTCCTTCAGTGCTTTCGTATCAACAGAAAGAAAACCTACATATGCAACCAAACAATTGCCACCAGTTTTTGGGTGTGGCTCAGAATCTGCCAAATCAATGGCATTTTGTAAATCCCATAAATCTACAGCGTACGCCGACTGGATTTCGTCCCTAAACTCCCCTTCCAATACATACCAACCTTTGGAAATTGTGGACAAGCCCAAAGAAAAAACTCTCCCCAAGATTCACCGATCCTTTGGCAAAATGTCGAAGGATCGGTATGACGACGACGTTGAGTCGTATGTTGACTACAAGGGCAGGTTCCGACAGCCAGCCGGATTGCCCTTCCCTTTCTTATTCTACGGGGGCTGTCCACCTTCGGGCGCACCAGACGACGCTCCCGAGAGGAGAGGCACAGGACGATCTCGTCCGGGCGGTGAGCCTGCTGCCAGAAACTCCGCAAATGAAACCCCCACTAGCGCTGCACCACAAAATGGGGCACAAGTGCCCTCTCCTGACCTGGAGCAACCTTCCCCGGCAACAGCAGATGTGCAAGACCCTTCTGTTACAGTAGGTCAACTTCCAGAAGACTGCACATTGTTCTTTCAAGAACGGCAAATGTCAACGAATACGCTCGGAAATTTGAATGGTAAGATTATTTCTGTTCTTTGACCAGCAAAAATAGTCGACTTGATTTAGTAATAGAGCAGCAATAATGTAAACCAGAGAAAATTGATTTTGTTAAGATTTGCACATTATGTAGAAGTGATTTTTGTGAGTCCAACGGTATAAATAATTTGGTTCCTCTCCTCCCCTTACCCCAGGGGGAGGGGTCCAAATTTGCTAAAACTGCAAACGGGGACGCGGATTTCCAGATGATGCAAAAAGATATCAAAATGCTAAATACTTTCACCAAAATGTTCCTAATTTTTTTCTACAACCCCAAAGCGCTTTTTGGAAATTAAAAAAATTCAAAAAAATGTCTCGAAATTCCGGTTTACATTATTGTTACTCAGTAAGGTTTCAAGTAAAATCATATTCAACGACGGTATCAAAGTTATTTAATAAACAATGTTGCTAAAAAAGAAGTCTAGATTATTAATCGAAAATTATCGTTAAAAAGCAGCTCGTAATTAAATCTATATCAATTCCCTTATTTTGACCTTGCAAATGTTTTCATTGTAAAGATGACCTTTCATGAAATAATACTATTTTTAATAGTTTTTCTAAACAAAATTAAAATAGAAACTGCAAAAATAGCATTTTGAAGATTTGTAGAGGATTAGATTCTGGGGGAATTTTAATCTTAATATGTATGTATGTATGTCTGCATAATATAATCAGGATATTCGTCATTGGTTTGCATAGTGTCAAACGTTACCAAAATAGGTTGGATTTAAAATTAAGTTGCAAAATTATGCATCCCGAGGGCCAGTATACAGTACCTATTTCTTAAACATAAGAATACGATGCGAACATGCTAATTTGTAATGAATACCCCCAATGTGTCCAGTTATTATTATGTTACACATTTATTCAAAATCCATTGATATTGATGTTTCGTAGCTTAATTGTAGAGTGGTTTAAGGGTAAAATCGAAGTAAAGTAAATAATAAAGGGTTTTATGAATTTTTACAGTCTATCGAAGAATCCAAAGGGTCACACGATTACTGGACAACATCGTCAACCGTGAAGAATGTATGGAAAACCTTGATGACGCCCGAGTTCTATACGAACATTATCGGGAAAATAAATCCTTCAAAGAATTTACAGACTTGCTGGGACAATTACACCAGCCAGTGTACACTGATTTCGTTCGGTTTTATTTCGGGAGGCGCCCTGATGTACAACCATATTTCGAAAGAGTGTCAGGCGCCCTGAGTCATTACGGGTGCAAATACACTTCAAAAAAGACAGGTTAGATTTTCAGATGATTTCACATTTAAACCCTTCCGGGGATACATTTGATATTGTAAAGTTTTAAATATGCCAGGTCACTTGCCCGGTTGCACGAGACAATATACCACCCCCACCACACATGATTCGAAGATAAGTGTTAGCAATAATACGACACCAGAGCCATCGGAATTTGAGGGAAAGATAAGAACAACGAACAGGTCTCGTAGAACCGAGTCCGGTGTGCGACAGGCATCAAGCCCACTTACAGGTATGCTGCCTATATTTCTAATAAACGATAATGATAAAAATACGTAGCATAGTTGCGCTAATTTTGACAGATTATTGTACGTTTGTAATGCTATTATTCTGTCCGTTTTACTCTTAATTAATAGTTGTGAAAGCAACCATAACCGTTGCTGATACTACCTCGGGGTTTGGTTTAGATCGTTTTTTTAGATTGATATGTATTTTAGGTTTGTTATCTAAATGCATATTAATATAGCACAATTGGTGCCGTGTATGTACAAATCTCGGTAAAAATTACCGCGTGACCTTAGGCATCGGGTCGTTCCCTTGAAAAAATAAGGAGAAATAGTGTTACAGTTTGGTAATTGTATTAAAAGTTTTTTATCTCCTTTGGGATAATAATGATATCGAGAAATTGCAGGTCAGTTTTTAAATTTTGAACTGGTTAATATTTCTGTGAGGTCCAAGTTCCGGAACTGTTTAAGTTTACGAAATTTAACACTTTTTTACTACATAGGTGAGACACAAAATGCATAAAGATGGGTATTTATGTACATCAATTAGAAGGGTCACATCGCAATACATACATCTGTAAGTGCAATTTTGCAGTGTTTATGAAATCCGTGAAAGGAGCAACCAATTTTAAATGAAAATGCGTAAACCTCAAATCAATGGACAGGTGAAACTTCATTTTATGACCAGTTTTCGTCGTAATAGTTCACAGTGTCAATGGATACCCCTTTACTTCGTATATTTCATGAAAAAGTAAAGGAACGCCTCGGCAATATCGCAAACTTTCGAAGGTATATCTCCTACAGAACAACGGTTGTTAAGTTTACCTAGTAGACGTGCATACTCACAATATTTTGCTCCCCCAAATTAAAATATATTTACCTATATATGTATATATGTACATGAGAATGCTAAATACCGCATGGTAAATTTCGATTCCCAAAATGCGAACTTCCATATTTTAAAATCTCACGCCATACTCGGCAGAGTTTTGCACAACATTATTTCCACATTTGCAATTAGGTTTACATATCTTTAAAATATACAGATGTGGACCTATGTATGTTAAAAGCTACGTAAAATAAGGCGTTTTTATACTCGTTCTTTTTAGTAGCATAAGCTTGTATTCTCCTGGACAAAATTTTACGTTTCTTTAGACTTAAGTTTAAGAACGAATATAAGATCAGAATATTAAAAGCCGAATTTAATTATCGTGACCTGCTTCAATATGCAAAAAATAAATTTACAAGAGGGTCGGTAGATTAAATAAAAAATCTGCCACATTACTAAAAAGTCGGCAACATTATATTGGGCGTACTCACGACAACTTCTTATTTCGCATCGCAACTCATTTAGCAAACTTGCGAAGATCAAAATTTTTCTGTCGTGAGGGAATTCGCAAAATATAACTTCGCAAATCTCTCCAATCTCGCAAATCTACTGAAAAATGTCTATCTTGGTATTGTTTCCATGGATTTCTTTCATTTCCCTTGCTAGCGATGATGAGGATGAGTTTGCGAAGTAATTTTGCGAAATAAGAACATGCCCAATTGCTGGGTAAATTTGCGAAAAAAAATCCCATGGTTTTCCAGCAAATTTTTTGCGAAATCTCGCATATCTCGCAAAACTTCGCAAGTTATGTTGCTATGCTCACTTTGCGAGATATGCGAGATATGCGAAGGTTGACGTGAGTACGCTCATTAGTTACTGCAACATTATTGGTACAAGATTGACAACATTTTAGGAAAACCAGATTCGTCCTTTTTTATCTTTCCAAATCTAATATTACATCATGTATTTACTTTTTAGTTGAAAACAGTTCTCCGGACTTTTGTGGTAAGAGAATTTTGTAGTACGCGACGTTGCGAAATTGCACATATGTACATACTAAATTCATTTTAATTATAAAGATACAACAATTTCTATGACCCCGGATTCAGAACCCTCTGTGCCATCAAAAAGAAGTTCATCTGCACGCGAGAAAAATAGTGGTAAGGGTAAGATGGATACATATGATTAAAACTAATATTTGCAAAGAAAGGGTCAAAAAAAATTGATTTTGACAATTTCAGATAACCTTGCCACTGCGGGAAAAAATCACAATTTAAGGAACACAGATATAACGCAATCCGATAATGGTGATAAATAAATTCATAATTTTATTAAGATAAGCTCAAAAAATTAATGGTCTGAAATTACTATACGCAGCAGTACCAACACATAAGCCGACGTCGGATTATGCAAAAGGGAGAGAGCGCGTCGAGCGACGGGGGTACTCACGTCAAAGTTCCAGTAGGACTGAAATGGGCATATCATCAAGTTCAAGTAATATCACACTTGTTAAAAATAATTTTTGACAAAATCTCCCCAAATGGGCGATATTCTGGTAGAAATCAATTAAATTTTAATGATTTCCCATAAAAAACTCAATATTTATTTCTACCAGTTTTGACTGGATTGACGAGAAAATGAAAAAAGTTTTACCATAGGGTTTCCGACAAAATATCAAACAAACTCTAGTATTTTTAGTGTCACAGTAATGACAGAATTATTCTTCGGGATGTTTTAAATTTTCGATTTTTTCGAAGTTTAGCGAAATTTAATCATATAATTCGGAAGTATTCGGAAGTAGTTCTTCAGAAGGACTTACCTGATTGATTAAAAACTAATTGCCGCGAAATTGTAATCTTAATCTTGTCAGTTTCTGAAATCTTTAAAATTAGCTCAAATTGGAAACAGGTTAAGATTATTGGAGGTATTTTATCCACAGAAAATACATGTATATTAGTTTTCTAAATAAGCAACCAAGTTAAGATTTTTACCCATCAAATTTTCTTCACGATTACCATATTTGATGTTTTGTCTTGATGAATAGGTGAAAGCAGTTGGCCGGAATATTGTGGTAAGGAACTTTTTACACGTAACGTGGCATAATAGCATACACTTATTACATAATTGATTCTATTTTTACAGATAAAACAATTTCCATGAGCCCCAATTCTGAACCATCTATGCCATCAAGAAAAACTGCGACTGCAGGCAAAAAGAAAAATTGTGAGCTGGATATAAACATACAAATTAAATTCATATATGTGCATACATAGATATGGAAAGAAGGGTTTATAAAAAAGTGATTTTTCCAGCTAAGTTTATGGATGCATCAAGAGGCCTAAATTTAACAAGGACAGCTATAAACTCTTCCGATAGTGGAAATAAAATAAATAAATATGTAATTTGGTTACAATAATTACATCAATTTGATGAAATGAAATTATTAGAAGACGAAATAGCGACGCATAAGCCGACGAACTCACTACGCAGGGAAATGACGGGATCATCGTCGGGATCATCATCGGGTAATTTCATAATTGCTAAACGCAACTCAAAATAAAATATCCCTTGGGCACGATATTTATTTCGTGACTACGACCAGTTAAATTGCCATTACTTCTGATGAAAAATATTCATTTCCAAATTTTGTGTTCCGCGACGGAAGACTTACGAAGTTCACTTTTTACCATTGGTCGGTATAAGGAAACTATAAGAGGATAAATATCCAGAAACATAAACTTTCTACTATGGAGTTTCGCACGAAATACCAAAGAAATGATTCTATTTTGAAACATTTTTCTATAGTAATCCTCTGATTTTTAAAATCCAAAATATTTTTAATTTTTGCGCGATTTGAAATATTCAAAAGCGTATTTCGCCAGGACTAATTTGATTGATTAAAAAAGGCAATTATCGCAAAATTTTTATTTTATTATCCGTAAAAAAATCTTACCTTTCTCTTTGTCCATTTTCTTCACGATTAACTAATCTGATGTTATGTCTATATTATTAGATGAAAGCGATTCGCTGCATTATTTTGGTGAGGAAACTTGTTTGTACCAACGTGGCACAATATCATATATGTGCTTATGACATTAGTTGATTTTATTGAACAGATGCAACAAAATCTATGACTTCTGATTCCGAACCATCCACATCATTTAAAAGTAGAACTGCAGGCCAGAAGAATACTGGCCTAACCTATGCAAATAATGATTTCTAATAAAAATGATTTTTTCCAGATAATTTAATTGGTCCATCAAAAGATCTCAATTTAACAAGCACAGCTATAAACTCTTCGAATGATGGTAACAAATAAATACGTAATTTGATTAAAATCATCACCTCGATTATTATTAATCATAATGAAATGGAATTATTAGAGCCGAAAATAACCAGACATAAGAGAAAGCCAAAGCCTCGAGTCCGCTATTCACCGTCCGACTTTGAACGTGTAAGAGACAATTCACGCAGAACAGAAGTGACCAGATTACCTGCTGCTGGTAATTCAAAACTTGTTCCTAATAATTGTAAAACAATTGGTGTTCAACCAGATAAATTTCTCGTTGCATAAAACTGGATGAACTTATTTATTCAATCGGGTAAAGCGTGTCTGTCAAATCCAAATGCCGAGATCCAGATTGCAATCTTTTATTGTCAATATGTAAAATTTGTGACAGGAAATACACATGTGCATGTCCTAAATTAAATACTGAATCCTTGATACTTAATCCCAGCACAAATTTGTATGCAATTAATTGGTAATCCCTAATCCTGAGCAAAATTTTCACGCCATTATTTGCCGATTTTTAATGACATACATGTCTAAGGTAAATTTTTAACCTTGCGAATCTATTTTCGAAATCTACATATACATCGAAAATAAGTAAGTTAGCGTGCGACCCTGCACAATTTTTCTTTTTCCAAGCGAGCCACGCGATTTTTTGCCAAGAGCAGATTTGCGGCCTGAAATCACCACCGCCGAGAAACATCGAAAATTGATATATACGTTTGCACATAAATAGCCTGAATATGTACCGAGGAAATTGTCCGCAGATACTTTTCAGCTTTGTGTGAAAAGTCTTAAATTTTACAATTACCGGATTATATCGAAATACAAATTTTGACATCATAGCATTAAATCACTTGTACATTCTAGCTGCAAATATTTGCAGGTCCCACAGATGACACTAATTTGCAAATCGGGACGCCCATAGTGAAGCCTTCTCGAGTGAGAAAACCAAAAATAAGGTTCACCCCTTCGGATTATCAAACAAAACCACGTGCAACAACTCAAAGTTCAAGCACAAATGACATTTCCCCAGTTCCATCCAATTCTGGTACATTGATTTTATTAAAATTTTAGTATTCTTAACCATTCACCTGCAGACATTTAATTTAAAGTTACTTGCAAACGTTGCAGGAGTTGTTTCAAAGTCAACTACTCGAAGGAAACTTGACTTCGCAGACGTAAAAACACAAGTTTCGCAAGGCTCCAAAATTCTCCACGCTGATGATTCTGATGATTCGTCCAGTTCCAGTTCATCATCTTCCCAAAAAGGTAAGTGGCATTATTCGTTTGGCTAGTAATTCGTTTGGCTAGATATACATATATGTAAGTATATATGCATAAAACACAATTTTCACACATTTTATAACCACACGCACTTTATAATTAATGAAATGATTATAAACATATGTATGTATGTATGTACATCGGATTAGAATCATACAATAAATGAAATCTCAAAATATACCTGAAAAATGACCGTACCAATCCCTAAAATATGGCCATAAAAATTTTTTGGGCTTGATCGGGAATAAGAATATGTCCTACATACAATTCGATAATCTGACTGACCCATGTGAGAAAATATTACCCACCTCCCTTCATTGAATCCTACAACAAATTCTAAAAATAAATCTCATACGGAAAGGACTGAAAGAGAAACTAAAAGGACCCAGGTCAAAAGATTCGTCCCTTGAAAAATCGACATCACCAGAGATTCCAACAGGTACTCCAGGAGACGACAATAAAGTCGACTCTCCAGAAACGTCTGATCGATCATCTCCTGGTTTCTACCCGAATGAGTACAATTGCTTTTTAGTTCAAGCGGATTCCGAAGGTCCAGATTTATATGACCCCTTGGAAATTACGACTCGAATTTGGTACACAGAAATGGAAGTCTTAAATGTCTTTGATGAGACAGATTTTGGTTTTACTGGAGTGGAAACCGAAATTTTATCCTTGGCCCCCAACACTTGTGTGACATCTGGAATTGCAGTGCCCTATGCTCTTAAAATTATGCAGGACTGCATTATAGATTACCAAGATCAGAAAAAGAAAAAATTGGTTTCTGGCATAATTTACCACTCCAACCACAACGACAAAGTGGCACCCGTGCCAATATTCACTACTTCTCCGGTTTGCCTGCCAAACGAGGGTGATTTCGATGACGACTGGGGAATATTATACACCGTGATATTCTTTAAAGTTCACGCCTTTCTTGTTGAGATGGATTTTGCCAAGCACAAAATTAGGTTTATGGACTCATTAGCTGATTACCTGAGTCAAGTGCAAAAGAAGGCCATCTTCAATGCAATCCGTGACGTTCTCAGGGAGAGATATTCAATCGTTGATTGGGTGTTTGAAGACAAGGGATCAGCGCGGCAAGGTATAAATGATTGCGTCATCCTATCCCTGATGAACCTAAAAGCCAGGTTACTGGATTTGGATCACATGCTCCCTCAGCATGTTAACCCGTACGATGCCGGAGAATATCGGGACAACATGATTGAAGAGCTGATGAAGACGACGGACATTGGAAGCACGTTTTTTGCAAAATGTAAAAGCTCAAAGGCGGTGCTGAATCAAATAAATAGGCGAGAAGTTCAAAGGAAGAAGATCTTTGAACTTTTGACAAAAAGGAACCTGATTGCGAAAATTTATAACCGGATGGAAAACATCCAAGCACAACTGGACGATGGGACCACAAACCCATACTTTACACAACTCGAGGTCAGACTTAATCGACTACAAGGCGAACTGGAGAAAGACGTGGAGGAACATGAGCTTGACTTTGCAAGAAATAGAGCTTTGCGCAATTCGCAAGTTACGTAACTTGCAATTTTTGGAATTTCGTAAGTTCACAAAAAATCATTTGTATGTTACGTAATTTAGTTTGATAAATGTGTGTTTATGAAATTTTTCAAATTAACCTTTTCCTTTACAGCCATTGATTCTGAAATGAAACATGGATCTATCTAATATGCTTTAATTTTTTCAGCTCTCCTAGCTGGGTCTCCTATTCATCATCAATGCCAAAGTGGGGCCAAATCTGAACCAATCATCACTTTTATGCAGTCTGCACCTCGACAATAATACAGATGTAATATAATTTTCAAGTTTTTCCAACATTTTGACAGTTTTCATAAACAATCTCACAATGCATGGCTTTTACATGCAAAACTCAGATCTCATGGAATTAAATTTCGTTCATTACAAAAAATAAGCATACCGTTATCTTTCAATTTACATAATGGGCTAATTTGAGCGCGAGGGGCGAATTTTAAACTCTTTTCTAGCAACAACTTTGGTTTTTAAAAATTCTACAAAATTTCCAATTATGGTGCGAATTATGGCGCAAACCAAAAATTCGATAACATGTTCCACCAGAATGACTTGCCTGACTTGCAAAAAATCAAATTCTCTCAAAATATGAATTTGAGAAATTCTTGCCAGTTTATGAAATTTATTGAAATTATCAACTCTATCAAAAATATTGCATGCGCTTTTTCCATAAACATGTCAAATTTTTAGAGTTTTGCTAAAATTCGAAAATTTACAGAATTTTTAAGAAATGAAGTTTTGGCTATAGAAGAATTTAAAATTCGCGCCTCGTGATCAAATTATGAAAAACTTCGAGTATGCTTATTTCTTGTGGTGACCAAAATAAAATTGATCCCATGGAGATCTGAGTTTTATATGTAAAAGGCATGAATTGTCAGAGGAATTCATCGAAAACAAATTTTAAACTTAAATACAGAATTATTGGTAAACCCTGTAATAAGAGAACAAATTATTTTTGAACTTTTTGAGTTTTTTTTATTTCTCATTAAAAGGACAGTTTAAGTTTATTATTTTTCAGTACATGACTTCTCGGGTGAATTGTTTTTAAGTTGACATGGCGATTTTATATCTGGAGTTTTGTTAAATTTCAGCAAATCTGTTTCCTTTACAATGTTTCTTAATTACCCTGTTCACACAATAATCCAAGTATTATGGTAAATATACGACATTTTTTATTAAGGTTAGGGGTTTGAATGTTCGACTCCTTTGTAGTCAGCTTTTCTTATCTATGTATGTGTGTGATACAATAATGTATGTATTCATAAAGTAATAACCTTTTAGACTTTTATATTGATGTACAGAACTCATGCAAGCATTTAATCCGTTTAAAAAGTTTAGGTCTAAACGTAAAAATTCATTTTTTTAGAAACAGCAAGAACGATCATGATTACTTTTAATACACGTATAAACATAATTAGATCAATTTATAGACTTAGATCCACGATTAAACTCATGTTTAATTTCTATTGTATCAAGGAAATTATTGTTTGCATTTATAATTATCCAATAAAATAAAATTTTTAACCTCAATTATTTAGCCATGTCCAAATTATCGATGAGATGCATAATTTTTTATAATTAATTACGCAACATACAGCTGGAAACTTTCAAATTACTCATCATCTATAACCGAGAAAATGCAGTACTATTAAGTAGTGTCCTTAACGTAAGATTAGGTGACTCATCGTCACAGGTCTAAAAATCTGAATACTTTTACGCATTTCTCCGTTCTGGGAATTTATTTTTAAATTCTATCAGATCCATTTGTAGACCAGGTCAGTACCAATTTATTAAAAATATGCACTCCAGAGTTTATCAAGCTTTGAAGGAGAAGACCCAAGATAAGCCCTCTAGTTAAAAGGCCTTCAGAAAAATTTGGTGTCAAAAAAATTGGCTTATGCTTTTTTAAAAAAATCATCGCCATCCTATTAATCAGCTTATTGACTACAACTGGATCAGATAGATTTTCTATTTTCTATTGCATTCCTCTAGAAAACAATTTTGAAATCATGGTGTAGAAAGTAACCTAAACTCCGTTTCACGTTACATGGAGTACATTACCCGAATGAGCCGAATTATTAGCTCACCCTGCGTAGCATGAGAGCTATTGAATTCCTCTTGTCCGTCTGTCTGTCCGTCCGTGTGTTCACGAGTTTTTTGTATCAATTGATGCTAATTAATAATCCCCATGTCCATTATTGAGCATCTTAATCGCACCATTTGTATCGAACAATCCATGACGGAATTGGTGCGAATCAATTCAGAAACTCGATAGAGAAAAGACAACAATTTTGGAATTACTAGCACCTTTGGGGTCGAATAATCGGTTATCGAAAATGATGCGAAATAATTGGGATCATATATGCAAAACGCACCAAAAATGCAGAATAGCTGGAAGAAATAATTGCCCAATTTTGATCAATCAGTATGCAAATGGTGCGAATCGGCTGGGAAAATTGACCGACGGAGGATTACAATTTTGGAATTAATATCACTGTTAGTATGGAACAATCGGTTCTCCAAAATGGTGCGAAACAATTGGAACAATCGATGAAAAATGCACCAAAAGTGCAGAATAACTGGAAGAAATAATTACAAAAATTTGGCATCACGATTTAATTGCCACGTGCCAAAAGTCGAAATTATGTCGAAAGTAAATGTTTATTTTCTCGCGTTATCCTACACTATTTGTGCAAAATTATATGATTATAATTTATCTACTTTCACCGATTTTTCTGCACCAGTGGTGCAAAATTGTATAACATTTATGCACTTATTTTGTCAGCTTATTCTGCACCTTTGGTGCAAAGTTATATCAAATCATTATTGCAGGGTGAGCTACTTCTATCGTTACTACGGTTTATTTTATTATTTGGTACCACTTTTATTTTGGCGTAAAAATCATACGAAATTGACTAATGTAAACGCCAAAATAAGAATAACTGTACCAAATAATACAATAATTCGGCTCATTCGGCTAATTTACTCCATGTTAAAAAGCTGTCTTGTGCCGTGAGATTTTTTGAGACGATGAGTCACCTATCGTCATCTTAATGACGTGAATTTGAACTTCAGAGTATAGACCCATTATTACACCACGACTAATTGTAGGACACAGCTTCATTTTTGTCTATTGCAAATTCGGAGATTTTCGGACATATCAAGTGGATACTATTCAGTTGAAAGTCGCTGTTTTTGTTGACGTCGAGTGCAAAAAGTGCACGACATAACAAGCACGCCGTTTTCTTCGACGTCTTCTCAAGGGATGGTCGTTTTTGCGGAATTGAGATTTTCTCACATGCAAATATCATAATTTTACATTGCTACATATAAAATTGAAAAGTCATAAAACATATTTGTAATTACCTAAATAGGTCACGCTGTAATGATATCAAACCTGATCTATTTATAAAACCAGACCCCTAAATTAATACTTGATTCTAAAGTTAATAACTATATTTTTATATTTGAAAATTTTGCAATCGTGGGATGACAATGTGTTGTTCTTTTATCTATTGAATACTGTCCAGGAACACTTGATGCGATTTTTCTCCAAAGTTGTGTCCCCTTCAATTTACTAACCTGTTACTTCGACAAACGTTTAAAGGCCTGAAACTATTATAATATAAATTGTATGTACAACAAACTTAACAAATATGTGAAATGTACCGGTCGTGACAAAACAGAATTCATTATTATAACCGTTTTAGAAATACAGGCACAATGTTAATTATTTTTGACGCCTTATCAGCTAATAAAATATTTATTTCAGAGGAAAAAACTACGAACAGCCGGTATACATACATATATATATGTATCTGTAGGACGTACATATGTACGTTTAAACAAGCAAATCCCAACGGCGATAATATTTGCAGCGTAATAACATGACTAAACGGAGTTGAGTATTATTATTATTCAACCTGTAACTATGGCAACCGCATCAGCATCTCCCTACCCTTCGATCAGCACGTATCCACGCGTTGCTATTGGCAACCACTCTAAATTGAGTACAAAATTTCTCGGTTTATCGATCTGAATTTACCACAACCTTTTTCAACTTTTCGTGCATAGAGACAAACAACTCATCGCATTAAGAGTAGGTCATATGGCGATCAAATATCCCAAAATTTTGTAGGAAAAATAATTCTATAATTTTTCTCAACTCCTGCAAAGTGTATTTTTGTATTTCCAGCGAAAAAAATTCAATTGTTCCACATAAGCGCACTTTTGAGCCTTGTTCAACCCGCATGTTTTGCCGGTGGGGGAATTTTTAAACAAAATTTCTTCTGAAATAAGAATATCTCAATGCACTAAGGTTTCAAATTTTCACATTTTTTGATAAAAATAATGATTAAACAAAAACATTAAACAAAAACAGACCCAAAAATTTACAATTGAGTTTTAAATCAAAAATTAGTCTTTTCCTGTAAGCATAAACTTTTGAATTGTGGGATGACAATGCATTAGTATTCTAAATATCATACATGTAGTACCAAGGTATGTATACTTTGATTTATGTATTCTCTAAACTTGCATCGCGTTTAATTTATTTACTGTTGTTATATTTCGATAGACGTTAATATTATAAACTAAATAGATGGAAAAAAATTCAAAGATTTCAAAGAATAAAATATACTGGTTATGAAAAATTGTATTTTAATTATTACTACTACAGTCGAAGAACTGACATAACGCTCATTATCTTCGACGGCCTTATAATCTAGTGAAATATATTTTGTTAGATATTACCTAACCCATACCACTCCGGTGACTGTTTATATGCAAATCTACCATAAATGTATTTAATAGCAAAAGGATAAACAGCCAAGTCTCTATGACAACGCAAATGGACTACGTATGTACATACTTCTCATACATTTGCATGCATATGTAAAGTGCAAAATCCTAAGTGAGCATTAATAGATTGCCTAAACATGACGACCCGTTGCCATTGGCAACCTTGTCAAGTTCCAACTCGGGCAACACTTGTTTAATTTTGCGTTGCTGTTGGTAAAGGGTCCAAATAGCATTACTGCCAAAATCGTAAAATACTATATATTACAGCTTGAACAAATTTATATAAATTACGTTAACAACATCATTTTTAAAGAAATATGGCTTACCTCTTAAGTTATTTGCCCGTGATGTAACTATTTCAAAAAATGGGAAACAATTATTAGCATAGATTTTGTCATAATAAATTAAACAAGAGAAAGCTGGGACAGAGAGGATAAAAATGTCATTCGTCGATTTTGGAAGGGGTCCATGACGTACGATTTTTTTGAAACCTTGAGGAAATACACGTCAGTTATCCCTGAAGATATTTCAGAAATCCGAACACGGCCACACGCACTTTTGAAATTGTCAAAATTCATTAAAAAAGAGAAAGCTGAGACAGAGAGGATAAAAAATATAGAAACTTGTCAATTTTCAAAGGGGTCCCCGACGTACGATTTTTTTGAAACTTTGATGAAATACTCACCAAGTATCCCTGAAGATATTTCAGAAATCAGAACTCGCCCGCACGCACCTTTGAAATTGTTAAAATTCATTAGAAAAGAGAAAGCAGGGTTTGGGGGGATATAAATATAAACTTGTCGATTTTTGAATGGGTCCCCGACGTACGATTTTCTTGAAACTTACATAAAATACTCGCCAAGTATCCCTGAAGATACTTCAGAAATCCGAACACGCCCGCACGCACTTTTGAAATTGTTAAAATTCATCAAAGTTGAGAAAACTGGGACGGGAGGGATAAAAATAGACATTTGTCAATTTTGGAAGGGGTCCCCGACGTACGATTTTTTTGAAACTTTCAGGAAATACTCGCCAAGTATCCCTGAAGATATTTCAGAAATCAGAACTCGCCCGCACGCACTTTTGAAATTGTCAAAATTCATTAAAAAAGAGAAAACTGGGGCGGAGAGGAGAAAAATGCAAACTTGTCCATTTTGGAAGGGGTCCCCGACGTACGATTTTCTTGAAACTTTCAGGAAATACTCGTCAAGTATCCCTGAAGACATTTCAGAAATCAGAACTCGCCCGCACGCACTTTTGAAATTGTCAAAATTCATCAAAATTGAGAAAACTGGGACGGGAAGGATAAAAATAGACATTTGTCAATTTTGGAATTGGTCCCCGACGTACGATTTTCTTGAAACTTTGAGGAAATACTCTCCAAGTATCCTTGAAGATATTTCAGCAATCAGAACACGCCCGGGCGCACCTTACAAATTATGAAAATTCATTAAAATCGAGGGTGCGGGGCAAAAAACGACATTTTCGTATTTTTCAAAAGTTTCCCGCCACCGATTTGGCTGAAAATTTTAGGGAATTATTTAGAAGTGTTAGGGAACACATTTCAGTCGTCAAATCATCCCCAGCGACAGCGGGAAAGCTTAAAAATTAAAAAATTTAAATTCTGGGGTGGGCTGGGCTAACTTCCTATACATCCGAAACACGAAGGATGGGCGAAGGTGGAGCACGTACAAAGCCTTCATTCAACCTGCGCTGAATCGGAGTAACTTTCATGTAATTCGTTACGCGCATGTCACTAAGGTAACGATGCCGATAAATTATTTAATAGAGCAATTTCTGTAGCATGTTTGGAAAATAGGTAAACTTTGATTCGTCCAAGCGTGCCGTGGGGGTCACGTACACCAAGAATGGGCGCACATTCACTGCCACAGGAAGTTATCCTATCGGCAGGTGCGATAGGAAGTCCGCATCTTCTCATGTTATCCGGAATCGGGCATTCTGACCATTTGGCGTCGTTTGGGGTATGAACGAAGAAGTCGAATGTTACAAATTTCCTATGAAAATTCGAATATTTCGGATTTTTTACAAAGATTTCGAATCCAAAATTAATTATTCAGAACTCACTAAATAGATCCCAACCATATCAAACCTCGCTGTTGGGGATAACCTCCAAGATCACGTCTTATCCATAGCTGGGCCCATCCTAGTCAACGCTTCTGTGTCCTACATTTCTGACAGAGATTTGACTATGGGATCAATAAAGCAGTACCTTCGCAATCATACGGGTAAGTAGTTTTGCTAAATCCCCGATCCGCAGTTCGGATCGGATTTTTTTTATCCGACCATTTGCATATTATGAAAGATGCGGATCGGATCCATGTTATAGTAAATTGGGTCATAAAAAATAATCCGATACAATCCGATCTGGTCCTACCATTATGGTCGGATAATTCGGTTACATAAAATGCATCCGATAAGGTCGGATCCGATCCGTGGTCAGAAACTTCGGTCGGATCGGATCGTTTCTGATTATCACACAAAAATCAAGCTACAAAAGTTACGAACAACGAAAAATAATATCGCGCATTAAATTTAATTACCAGGACCCCTTTCCTCCAGTGCCGTTCCGGCCATTGGACTGTTTAGCACGACCCAACCTCCTGAACCGAATTGGCCCAACTTGTACGCAATCCTGCACCCGATCGGGATCCACACGGCTTTCGGGAAAGACTTTGATTTTTTCTTTGGGCTTAAAGACATGAGATCATGGGTGGACGGATTTATTGGAAGGGACGCACATATTGTCAGATTTAATCTGGGACTCCCAAAAAGTACGGGAACAGTTCGCCTCCGTTCAGTAAATCCGATAGATCAACCGGTCGTTGATTTGAACTTTTTCAGTGATTCGGACGATCTTAAGGATATGATTAGTGGTAAGCTTGCGATGTGATTATTATGCGTATGGGGACTTTCATAAATTATGTAACGCCAAAATTGCGACGTTTTAACCCCCCCTCCCCTTGTCCCCTCTTGTGTTACATAATTTATGAACCCCTAATACATATACCTATGCAAATAAGGCGGGGTGATGTAAGATATATTTTTAATTTGTCAGGGCTGAAAATGTTAATTAAACTTTACGAGAAAACTAAAGCTTTTGGAAAATATAATGCAACCTTAATGCCAAAACATTTTCCCGGGTGTGAACGCCACAAGTTCCGAAGTGATGAGTATTTCGAGTGTTTCGTGAGACATTGGTCAGGTAAGATTTACAATATCCATGTAACATGTTTATAGTACAATAATTATCGAAAAGAATGTGCTACATATTTTAATAACGTGACTTAACGTATATTTTTAACGTGATATAAATTTATTATGTATACGTAAGTGACGACGTGGCATCAGTGCTGTACTGCAAAAATGGGACATGCGAATGATCCGAAGGCCGTATTAGATTCACGATTAAGGTTCGTAATATGATACAAGTTTTACAACTTTAATTGATCCTAAACTTATTGCGGTTTTGAAATTGAAGGGTGCGTGGCGTGAAGGGACTACGAGTTGCGGACGCGTCCATAATGCCCAAAATTACAAATGCTAACCCCAACGCGCCAGTTATTATGATTGGAGAGAAAGCTGCGAGTATGATATTGGATGATTGGGAGAAAAGTACAGAATTTTAAAAATTTTGAAGTATTCATAGATTTAACCCCCAACTTGGTTCAATACACTTTTTTTAATTTAATTTAATTTAATTTTAATTTATTTCATTTTTCATTTCATTTTTTTAAATTGCATATTCTATTTCACCAATTTCGGGAATTTATAATAACCAGTTTTAATCCAAAACTTTTAATATCTATCTAAAAAGTGCTTCTATGAAGTATCAAATCAGTATATGTAGAAGTTTAGATAACTGAATTCCCCTTCCCCAATTTTGCAGGTTAGAAAAATATAAAATTTCTTGAAAATATGAGCTTCCTTACACAAATTGTATTTTATTCGCATTGTATGCGTCTTTATACACTTTTATGGACCATGTATGCATAAAAATAGTAATTGTGAGCACAAGAAAAAACAATTGAGATTTATAGACTATCATATAAATACCTATTTAATGAAGCATACTTATCCTTAGATGAGGCTTCCTTCAGAAGTTAACTTCCAAATACATGCGTGCATAATTGAATGCATATAAGGCTTGATCGATTAAAATTTTTCGATGACATAATTAGTCTGTCACACTCGTTGGCAAATATTGATGTTGCACAATCAGTGATTTCAAGCCTGAGCAATCTGGAATAACATGTAATTTCGACGCATTTACCTAAGATATTATTTATGACCATTCTTCATTTAAAGGAACCTGTTTGATTTTTAATGCCTTCTAAATTAGAGAGCTGGAAGCTAGAATAACCTAATTAGAATCGTCAAAAATTAACTTGATGGAATTCCGAGTATTTATGTAATAGCTCGAATGTCTTTCAGACATCAATAAATGAACCCTAAAAAACTACACCAAAGAATTCTACTGAATCTTGGACAATTCATGCGTAGATGGTCAATACATTAAATTCCTTGCAAATTCCTTGCAAATTCATCATTGTACATATGTAAGTAAATATACACAACTGCAAATATGTATGCAATATAAAAAATGTTAAAAACGCAGGCTCGGGCCAAACGAATACGACTGCCTATAAGCGAAGTTAGGCTGTTAAAGTGGTAGTTTATTTTTTAAAGAGGAAGAACATTCATTAAGGATTAAAGTGAATGAAATTGTCATGGGACTGGTATGCAAATCAAGTACCTGCACTTCTACCAGTAGTACTCGAAATTAAGCAATAAAACTGCACGTAAATACTGAAAAATGTTAAAAAAGGTTTATTATGGAGCTAGATTTAGCCACAGCTCAAAGTTGCATGGATAAAGAGTATACATAGGTACTTTTGTATCATATTTGTACTACATTTTTTAGTGTGCAGTGTAGTTTTCAGATTTACGATACTTTGTACAAATTGGACGTCGTTATACAAGCCTTAAAATTTAAAAAGTCATCCATTCCGTATTGGAGAATTAAGGACACTGATCAAAGCATGATTAGATAAGCCAACTTTTGGTACCTTAACACGAGGAAATAATGCGTCTCGCTATTGTCTATACTCGTTTCATGAGAATTATGCTCTGTTGCAGACTGGAACTTCCAGTGAAATGGCCTAAAGTCATTGATTGCCTTCTCCAATAAATTTTTTTTGTATATTTATAACATTAAATATGTCACCTACTAATACAATCTCTGTATCTACATGCACAAACATTGTTGATCACATCTCTAATAAATATAAAATCTATTTCCTTGCAATTACAATGTTATACAATTTGCACGTGTATTTGCATATTAAGGAATTTTCCTCAACCTTTTTGCTATAAAAGGCCCTCTCGATGAAGCATTTGACAGAAGGAACATTTTTCAGTGTTGGCTATACAAATAAAATGGATCCATCCAACACAATTTTGAATTTTCTGAACACAATTCCAATTCCAAGGATAGTAATTGCAAATTTGAAGAACTTCATTGTTAGAATTACAACAGTTTTGGCCTTGTTTAATCATGGTTTTGATTCTGCCATGGATCCCAACCCACTATTTCGTTCGTCTAATAATTATGACTTCATTATTGGTTGGTTTTAAGTACAAATTTTAAATTATTCAGGAATAGACGTTCAGATTAATATGTATTTTTTCAAGTGGGCGGAGGTTCGGCGGGAGCAGTCGTGGCTAATCGACTATCAGCAAATCCAAATTTCAAAGGTTGCCCGTAACAAATAAAAAAATTATGGGGTGGTTTTAGTATATCTATTTTTATCGCTTATCAGTCCTGCTACTTGAGGCTGGTGGCAATCCCACCGTGCTAAATTCAATCCCAGCCATGGCGACGTACAACTTGCATCATCCTGACACCGACTGGATGACACCCTCGGAGCCATTAACCACTTCCTGTCTTGCGTGCAAGGATAACGTGAGGAAATTTACAATTTGAAAACTAGTGCTCGGCGCGAGACGAGACCATCTCGAAAATTTCGAGACGAGACGAGATACGAGACGAGACCAAGGCCATCTCGTCTCGACAAATCTCGGTCGAGACGAGACGTCTCGATACATCAAAAATTTAGAAATTTAGCAACAAATTCTCCGTCCTCTAGCCTTCTGCACGGAGCGAGGAGCAAGGTCTGTGCAGATGAATTCATCTCCAAAGCAACCCCCAAGTGCACAGACCTTGAGCGAGCAGCCTTGGGAAATGCAGTATCCTTCATAATTTTTTTAGGGACAATAGCTAAAACGAATAATTATGATCAAAACTTTAACCAATCTGCAAATATCCTGATTTTTACGTAAAAGACACTCAAATATGACACTAACTATATAACTCCAATTATAAATTGTATATACTGTGGGTAACGATTCCTTCGTATCCATATCCCAAGTATTCTTTGTATATGTAGTAACATAAGCTATGACGGTTACGAGTCATTCAGGTATTTCATGTTAGCCTTCGTAAGCTCGTAACCACGTTCATAAGCCTGCGAAGATCATCTTACGAACCAAAAATTTGACTTATCTGGGTAAAAATCACATACAAGAGATATTCGTACGTTTTGTCATAAGCTCGTAAGGTTAGTAAGTGTACGTGTTTACGTATTAACGAAAATTGACTTGAAATGACTCAATGGAAGCGTCGTAAAATTTTGTCGTCCCGTTACAAGCTTACGATTAAGATTTATCCTTTATTTTTTGTGTAAACTATGTAGTTTACTATACAAAGAATACAAGGCCAATTATTAATATTCTAAATATTTGCAGTTTGTATATTTGTATTTTGTAATTACCTGAAGAATACAAAAGATATTTTGAAAATCATGGATGAATGTCGAGACATCTCGTCTCGTCTCGACCGAGACGAGATTCGAGACGAGACGAGATGACAGAATCGTCATCTCGTCTCGTCTCGATTACTTCGTCCCGAGTCACTTTCGAGACGAGACAAGGCAATCTCGTCTCGTCTCGTCTCGTGCCGAGCACTATTGAAAACGTGAGAAAAATTTAAAGTTTGACATGAATTATTTAGTTGATTACAATCGCGAGAGGGAAAATTCTTGGTGGTTCGAGCAGCTTAAATTTTATGGTTTACATGAGAGGGAATCCGAATGACTTTAACAATTGGGCGAAGCTTACCGGAGATGCGTCCTGGTCTTATGCAAATGTGCTGCCCTACTTCAAAAAGTCGGAAAATTACACTGGAAATTATCTTGACCGTATGTAAATAATTCTACATACATTGAGATATGCGAAAGTATGTACATATTATAGTTTACAAAAAATTGCAAACCGATGAACTCTATAAGCTGTAACTTTTGGTAAGGTTTTTAGTCAACAGATTTGACAAGGTTAACTGAGTTGCTAGGCTAGTGGTCAAGTCTCAATCCGGGACAAACAGAGATGGACGAAGCCAGGAAAGGGCCTGTTCTATACCACTTAATAAATTTGAAACTTGCAAAAATTTAGAAAACATTAATAGAAAATTATTTTCTCTATAATTGTTTTTATATGTGACCTCTGTGACCTGTTATTAAGGGATGAAACCCATCCATTAATAGGAATACGTTATTTGTCTGTGTGCATAAGTTAAGAACGATTATAGTCAAATTCAGATGTTGTGCCAGTGTGGCCAAGTAGTGGTTTCTCCTAAGCTCTCCCTTAGCAAAGAGTACAAGCTGAGGGTTTCTCAATATTAGGCTCCACTCGCACAGTACACGTCTTTCTAAATTTGCCTACAATCGTTCTCAACTTATCGTGCATGCATTCATACAACATATTCCCATTAACGAGTTTCACCACGTATAATTAGCAACAAGTCGCACAGGTCAGCTATAAAAATATTTTATAGGGAAATACTTTTCTACTAATGTTATCTAAATTTTTGCAAGTTTCAAATTTTTTTACGTAGTATCCAACAGACCCCTATCTGGCTTCACCAATCCCTGGTTCTGCCGGGTAAAGACTTGGATGTGGTGTAAGGTATGTCATAGAGTATAGCATATTTCTGTATCTCTGACTGTGCTCGTCTCACTTGCCCAGTCAGTCACCAACTGCTACTTGGAGAATAAAGACATGTATATAGTAACTCTCCAGTGCCTGCTCTCTGACTGATTTCGACATCGGTGTTAATGGTGTGTCGATGGCCAACGCTACCTTAATAGCATCTCACATGCATTACACTACATTGGACACTAGCAGTACCAAGTTCTTTTACGCCGTAAATCAAAATCTTTAATTATGTAGCCAAATACCATGGAACTGGGGGACCCTTATCGGTGACTTCTAAACCTGATGATCCAATAATAAAGGATTGGATGTCTGCCGCGAAAGAGATGGGATTCAAAAATTCGGATGCAAATGCGTACCAGACATCAAGTGAGCTTGAAGAATGACTCAATGGGGGTATTCACTACGAGTTGTAGCGTAATTATAAAATAAATTGCGAATTAATAGTAGCCTACGATATGCGTAAGTTTGCATAAGAATTTTCAAGCCAATTTTTTTGTGAACTTGCTAACTTTGTTTATTTGCTAACTCGCCATTCGAACTCGTTCATTCCAGAATTCCAACTTGTAATGAATATCCCCAGAAATTTGCAGAATTACAATTCACTATAATAATAAATTTGCTAACAAGCATTTGTTCCTGCCGACCTAACCACGAAGGATGGGCGACGGTGGAGCACGTATAAAGCCTTCATCCAACCTGCGCTGGATCGGAACAATTTTAAAGTAATTCGTTACGCGCATGTCACAAAGGTAACGACATGGCGACAAATTAACATGACAACAGGTGGAGCAAATTAATAGATATGTTTGGAAATCAGGTAAATTTTGATTCGTCCAAACGTGCCATGGGGGTCTCGTATATCAAAAATGGTCGCACATTCACTGCCACAGCGTCAAAAGAAGTTATCCTGTCGGCAGGTGCGATAGGAAGTCCACATATCCTGATGTGGTCCGGAATCGGGCATTATGACCATTTGAAGTCCTTTGGGGTATGTAAAAATGCCTAAAAATTAAACCCTGACTAGCAGAAGTCTAACCTAAGAAATTTCGGATTACAATTGGAATATTTCGGATTTGGAACAAAGGTTTCGAATCCAAATAATAAAAGCAAATTAATAATAGATCCGAGCCATATCAAACCTCGCTGTTGGAGATAATCTACAAGATCACGTCTTATCACTGGCTGGACCTTTCATTTTGAACGATACTGTGTCCTATATTTCCGATAGAGATTTAAGTGTGGGAGCTGCGGAGCTGTACCTTCGGAATCATACAGGTAAAAGTAAGCTATTGCGGTGCATCGAAGTCAACCGGATGGATTTGATTTGAATTTCGGCCCGCCTCCAATGTTAATCAAATGGGCACGTGATTTTGGCGCGTAGAAATTCTGTCCGGTTGACTTCGATCCACCGCAATACATACAAAGCATTGATCGGACAAACATTGAACATATTTCAAATCAAATATCAAGGGCCCTTAGCGTCCGATGCCATGGCCGCAATTGGACTGTTTAGCACGACCCAACCGCCAGAACCGGATTGGCCGAACTTCAATGCACTATTGTATCCGGTCGGGATCCACAAGTCATTCGGGGAAGACTTTGATTTTATTTTTGGGTTGAAGAATGGAACCATAAAATCATATGTAAATGGATTTATTGGACGGGACGCAAATCTTCTCGGATTTAATTTGGGACTCCCAAAAAGTAGAGGAACAGTTCGTCTACGTTCAGCAAATCCGCTCGATAAACCAGTCGTTGATTTAAACTATTACAGTCATCCGGACGATATGAAGCAGACGATTAGTGGTAATGTATTATTAATAATTAGTGGTAATGCGTGATTATGCATGTAAACAAATCGTAGTTACGTGACATATTTTCAAATTGATTAGGGTTGAAAATGCTAATTAAGCTTTACGAGGAAACTGAAGCTTTTGGGAAATACAATGCAACGCTAATACCAAATCATTTCCCTGGATGTGAACACCACATTTTGAGAAGTGACGAGTATTATGAGTGTTTCTTGAGACATTTAACAGGTAAAATATTGGCAATAGGCGTAGAAAAAAATGTTTGACTTTAATCGATCATGACATAAATTTATAAGGGACGACGTGGCATCTGAGCTGTAGCGCAAAAATGGGAAGTGATGATCATTCCCCGGACAAATATTTTTTTATCCTACCCTACTCGTGTTGAGCTCAACATGAGTAGGGTAGGATAAAAAAATATTTGTCCGGGATCATCACTGATGATGATCCGAATGCTGTATTAGATTCACGATTGAGGTTCGTAATATGATACAAGTTTTACAACTTTAATTGATCCTAAACTTATCGCGGTTTTGAAATTGAAGGGTGCGTGGCGTGAAGGGACTACGAGTTGCGGACGCGTCCATAATGCCAAAAATTACTAATGCTAACTTGAACGCACCAGTTATCATGATTGGAGAGAAAGCTGCGAGTATGATATTAGATGATTGGAGTTGAAGAACATAATTTCTAACAAGGGACACTCATGACCTGTCGTTTGAGTCCAGGGTACCCATTATGTTTTTTAGAATCTACTAGGACCCCAGATGAAGGATTCATTCATATTTCCGTGTAAAACTCATATTTGGCGCCATGGCGTGGCGCCAAACTTCAAAATTTGCATTTTCGACCAGTTTCAAACCCCCATAACTTTTGCAGTTTATGTCGGATTTTCAAAATTTTATACGTAAAATGATCACAAAAGTCGAAATTTTTGAGAAAAAAATAAAAATAAAAAATTTCTAATTTTTGAAATATTTTTAGCATTTTTTCGACGAACCCCCGTTTATAAGAAAATTACGAAATTTTGCGAAAAGTTAAAAGTGATAATTTTGGAAAAAATTTCATTGGATACGAAAGTTGAACTCCTTGTCATGATTTTTGCCAAAAATTTTGAAAATCCGTACAGGTTTTCAAAAGTTATGGCGGTTTCAAAAATAAAAATATGCAAATTTGGCGAATTTGGCGCCACGCCATGGCGCCAAATATGAGTTTTACACGGAAATATGAATGAATCCTTCATCTGGGGTCCTAGTAGATTCTGAAAAACATAGTGGGTACCCTGGACTCAAACGACAGGTCGTGAGTGTCCCTTGTAAGATTTAAAGCTTTCCATGAGTACAATCTCTACTATAACTATTAGTAAAAATCATTTCATTTACATTTGAATGATTACATAAATGTTGTAACTTTAGAGGTAGATGTTTATTTTGCAAATACCCATGTGTGTACATTTAAATGGAAGCCATGTATTTGAGTGCATTGATTCAATAACCTACTGTATTGATGTCTATTTTACGTACATACGCGTAAAAATTACGGCCCTGGTGAAAATTAAATAACTTCGGCCCTTTTTCAGTTTTTTTTGTAATTTTTGAACCCAAATAAATTCGCTTGAAAACTGTTAACTGTGTGTATAATAAGGTTTGTTGTATGATGTTATTTACGATGGCGCTTTGGAGATCAATTTTTTATTATCTCCCAAAATAACGAATTTTTAACTTGTATGTACTTGTATGTCTCTTTCAGTAATTGCTCAAGTAATCAATTTGGCTGTTGAATCAAATCCATAAATTGGGAATATATGTACAAAATAATTTCGGGTTGGTAAACGGACTATGCATTTTTAATGAAATATACGTACTTCTTTACATTCATTTTTCCAACCTAGTCAGTTGGACAAATGGTAGTACACAACTTGATTTTAACAGTCCAATTTGTTTTCACTTTGCCAAAAAATTTTACTACATATTGAAGAACACTAATCTGAATTAAATCTTTGCATAATTAAGACTTGTCTTCGGTCATACTTTCCTCTCCAACCAGTAAGCAGTAGTAAGCACACTCTTAGAAAACGGGTATTAAATTACTACTGGCTGGGGTACATGACTCTACCGGCACGGTGATAACGAGCATTAATGTTGCTCAGTAATGTTGTGCTAATGAAAAACTTGCAACTCAGAAAGTTTCTGACAGTAGTAAACTACCTAGTACCAACCAGGTAGGAAATTATCACCAAATCAATACCAGTACGGAGTACATATATATATATGTACATATATGTACATATATATATTTATATATACTCTGCCAGATTTTTAAGAGTGTAGTCTTATTTCGTGGGTGACCTTTATTCAGACAAAATTGTACCTACGTATATATTTTCATATAAATTGCGAAGTAACGCTTAAATTTTGTCATTTGGAGTTCTCCCCTCATCTCGGAGACAACAAGTATGATTAGCAATCAACATGAAAGTTGAACAAGTTTGGTTTGCGATTTCAACGTATTCCAAACTGTTTGAGGATTTTTTGTGGTACAGATTTTGGTGGAAGTTTCCAATACAATTTGACGCAGAAAATTGGAAAATGATGTATGACGAAAATTCTACCTCTTTTATCTCAACATTCCTCGGCACAGCGACCCTGACGGTATCCATGCTGTCGTGCTTTGTCCTAATAATCTGGGCAAATTTCGTCCCCAAAGGAATCTCGGCACTGGATGCGATCCACTGTGTGCTAGGCGGACTTTGTGCAACTTCTTGTAATATATTTCTCGCTTTAGTGTTGCACCACGGGAAAAGTCTGGTGGCTAGTTCGAATCAATTACTGCAAGATTATAGAGCAAACGCGGGTGAGTCTGAAAGTATTGGTAATGTAATTTATGCAAATACATTATGCGAAAAATTCTGATAGATTTCAAGCAGAAATCTCCAAGATTTTAGCATAAACAATCACAGCATTTTGGACAGCACCTCGTACGGATTGTCGGCAAGATGGAGCTTAATTTTTGGCATTTCTTACACCCATGCTAGAAATTGTGCCCCTAAGAAAATAATTTCTTGCAGCTGTTTTTATGAAACACTAGTCTATCAAAATGCCGGATCTTTACACTTAAACTTGTTTCTTTCAGGAATTGATAGCTCCACCAAAAAATCGTCAACATCCACGAAATTTTTGCAACTCTTTATCCTTCAGTTTTCTCTGTGTCCCTTAGTCCTGCCAATATTTTTCTTCAAAACGGGTGGAGATCCGCAAAATCTTTTTTTGAATTTTGCCCTTCCAGGCTGGAATTCTGTCGTATCTTTCAAGGCGATTGCGCTGCACGGTTTCCGACTCGTGACCATAATCCCCTGTGCCCTTAATGGAAGTCGTCTCACTACTTTTTTCTGTTTATACTCCGTCCTTCGCCTCTCCTCGTATACAATGTTTTTGAACCTATTGCTATCCAAAAAGTGGAGCTCTAAATTTGAAAGCAGCGTCGCAATCTATAACCGCATCAGAATTAACAAGTCGTCCATTCGCCACGTGGAGATGACGTGTTGCGGATTTTTTTCTTTGGTCGCATTTATACTTATGATTCTGTATAATTATGCAAGCCTCGTGCTGCACAAGGTATTGCCGATGAATGTTTACATACTTTTTCCGTATATGTCCCTCACGATGATTGTTGCGGTGGATGTGATCATGCAACAAATGGTCCCGACGGCGGAAACGTCGAAGAAATTGGTTAGTCACTGGGCAGATTTGGCGAAAAATCGGTCCTGGATGAAGAGGGTGGTTAAATCGTTGCCAATTATAGGAATTGAGGGGGGATTGCGAGGGTTGAAAATGTTTGTGGTGGGTAAGGACGCAAAATCGATGTTTCTTCAGACTAATTTAGACTACACGATTAATGCTGTGTTATCTTTGTAATGAAAAGCAAAAACAGTATGAAAATTATTAAGGTATGGTATGGGTAATTTAGAAATTGTTTTGGAAAGTTGTAAAAAAATAGTTGAACTATTTACGGGTTTAGTCAATACAGTCTGGTTCAAGTGCTGGGGGATTGGAACTTAGTACCTGGGTAACGTCACCCAAAAGTTCCGATTCCCTGGACTTTTTAGTTATGCAAGTTACAGGGAAACGGAACCCACTTGTCGCAGGATTTAGCGGGCCTCGATTCCCCGGTACCCTCTTACGCAAAAGTTACGATTCCCCGGAACCCAACATTTTTCTTCCATTTTTCATAAATTGGATAAATTTCCGCAGAAAATTTGGATTATCTCAAATTAACCTCCCACAAATGAAGAACATTAGATAAAAAAATTAGAATTTTTTATTTGGGCGAAGTTTTATAAATCGCAAATATCTGACAAATTTGAGGAGCGGCAAGCTCAAAAAGGTACGGGGAATCGTCACCCAACAATTATTTTTAGGGAAAAATTCAATTATTTTTATGGGAAAATAATTATAACATAATAATAACGTAATAATTGTAACAATAACTGCAAAATAACTGTATTTTTCCCTGAAAATAATTTTTGGGTGACTATTCCCCGTACCTTTTTGAGCTTGCCGCTCCTCAAATTTGTCAGATATTTGCGATTTATAAAACTTCGCCCAAATAAAAAATTCTAATTTTTTTATCTAATGTTCTTCATTTGTGGGAGTTAATTTGAGATAATCCAAATTTTCTGCGGAAATTAATCCAATTTATGAAAAATGGAAGAAAAATGTTGGGTTCCGGGGAATCGTAACTTTTGCGTAAGAGGGTACCGGGGAATCGAGGCCCGCTAAATCCTGCGACAAGTGGGTTCCGTTTCCCTGTAACTTGCATAACTAAAAAGTCCAGGGAATCGGAACTTTTGGGTGACGTTACCCAGGTACTAAGTTCCAATCCCCCGGCACTTGAACCAGACTGCAATAAGCGAATTGTTGTTACATAAGTACATTTTTGAATTGAGTTAAATTACATAGTCTGGTTAATAAAATTGATTTCCAAAGGGTTGTCTTTAATGAGCGATTCGACGGAGGTGTCGTCTTGGGGGCCATCCGATTTATTGGACTGTTCTTGTTCCCACTCGCATTCACACATGTGATAGTATTTCTCCCTACAATGCAACAATTTTGATGATATTATTACGGTTTCTTAAAAAAATAGCATCATAAAACTAGCATTACCGGTCCTTAGTTACTAGTTCCTTCTGCTCCTTCAAGTAGTTGAGGACGACCGGATCGTTTGCGATATCCTTGGAGTCACGGATATGCCGGAGAGACAATTTTCGGCCTTGGTGACGTTTGAACTGGGCATCCTGCTCTTCAACATCCTTGGGGGTCAGAAATACAGCTTGTAATTTGGTCAGGAGAGCGTCCTCTTTATATTGGCAAGTCTCCTTGTGTTTGAAGGGGACAGGCGGAGGTTGAATCGGTTTAGTGGGAGGGGGAGTAACAGGTTGTGAGAGTACGGGTTCCACGGGGGGAGAAAGTTTCATCTCAGAGAGAGTGGAAGGCACAACGGAATTCATTCTCCTAAATTGATCTAATCAAGACAAGATATTTTTGAAAGCTCATCTAAGAAAAAATAAATAGGGGACCGTCCATAAATTATGTCACGTGAGAGGAGGGTTCAATGCTTTAATGATACCATCCCCCCTTTAACATGTGACACATTTTAAAGGGTCTAGAAATTAGCAATTTCCGGTGACATAATTTATGGATGTCCCCTAATCAATTAGTTTTTTTCTCTGGTCTATTCACTATTCCTGACTAATTAAAAAATTATCGCCCAAGTAGAGTGAGAAAAGTATTCGAACCTTTGGCATCCTTACCTTAAAAATCCTTAGCCAGTTATCAAGTTTAAAAAAAACAGTAAGGTTGAGGTTGGCCAGTACGAATTTGGAATTAAAATAAAAACGAAAAAATGAGAATGAGAATTATTCTCGTCGGTTTGGCGCTCAGCCTAAGTTTGCATTGCATATTTTTTTATTTCCCACCTTTTCACTTTTGCACGTTTTTATTATTATTTTTTAAACATTTCTCGATATTTTAAGTTTTTTAGTTGAGTTAAAAAGGTGACAAGGGTTTTAAAACGTAAGATTTCAACGAAATCGTTCTCACAGGAAGGATGGTTTACGGCCCCAGAATTGGTTTGTATTTTATATTCTTGTCGAGTTATTCCGATGGTTGAATGATAATCAATTAATTAACTGGTTACTTTTAAATTTTGTACAGGTGGGCAGCCTGACCCTGCAAATGGGGGAAGTGGCGATGCTCGAATTTTTGTCCCACCCACCCCGACCATGCCACCACCAGGATTAAATTATCAACCCTGTGAGTTATTTTTTAAATAGTTGGTACAAAATGAGCCAAAAGTGCAAGGCTTTTTCGCATCGATTTCACCAAATTGCACATAAAAAATTACAAATTCAGTTTTGGGTGGGGGGGATTAATATAGCATAGCTTTTTTGAATTATATTCAACCACACCCCCTTCAAAAATTGGGGAAGAAAATTGAGAAAAATGAGAAGGTCAATGTACACTCGGTACAGAAAGAAGTAGATACCAACTTGCATTTGACATTTGACTTCCCTCATGAGTATGAACATTTTGATGCATCAAGACTTTCAAAATTCGAAAATTGGCGGTTTTTCGACCTACATATAAATCGTTAAAAAAGTGACCTTAGCGGTCATTTTGCGGCTGACAACCTGATGCCAGATTTTTCTTCGTCAGAAGTGCCACATTTTCCGCTTTTGTTGTCCGCTGCGAAATGACCGCTACCATGACTTTTTTGGGGTCAAAGTTTCTGAGGGAGGGGCTTATACAGCAAGAGCCATAACAAACTCTGGCCACTAATGAGTACAGAGAGAGAGAAACAGAGTGAGAAAATGGATCGCGCATACGATCCTAACGCACGATGGTGGTGGATACCCACCGCCAACTACTTTTCTCACTCTGTCTCATCTTCTCCTGCGAAATATGGGAAATGATTTTGTGTTACATTTGGCCTGGTTTTTATCAGTTCCTCTTTGTGTAGGTAAATTAGTCAGATAAATGATTTTTTCCATCTCAGCTCCGCGACCTCAACAACCGGTGCAACAACAAAATGCAGTTTCAAATCCTGCCATTGTCCAGCAGCAGCAACAACAAAATTCCGTCGTCGCTTCGACTTTTGGTCCGGCATTTTCTCAACCAGCGAGAAATGTTGCTGCAAACCCGAATTTGGCACTGGGCAAAGTGAAGGTGAACTACATTTTCATAAATTAATTGGCAAATAAAACAAAATAGAATTCGGTTTTATATAGCCTTTCGGGGATCCAAGATTCCGAGACGTTTGGAGTAGCAATTTAAGGGAAGAATTTCGTAAAATTCGTCAATACGTGAGGAGCGGGTTCAACTATGTGTCCTTGGTGAGTACAAAAAGTAAGACGGGTTTAAATATTTTTTGTACGACCATATACATATTTTTGTTAGGATACCGAATTTCCTGGAGCCCCTCTCAAGCCCGTGGGAGAATTCGTGTCGTATGAAGCTCATACATTTTCGGCCCTTTGGGCCAATTGCAACGCCTTGAAAGTCATACAGATTGGAATTACTCTCTTCGACGAGAAGGGGAACGTGCCAATGGGGGTGTCAACTTGGCAGTTCAATTTTAAGTTTAGTCTGGCGTGAGTACATATTCTTATTTTTATTAATTAACTGAACCATGAAATTCTGAGGACCATTTTTTTACTCCCTTCTTTAGTGACGATATGTGGGCAGAGGACAGCATCGATCTTCTGAGGAAGTGTGGAATTCCATTTAACCGGATGGAAGTCGAAGGAATTGATCATTTTGAATTTTCAGAATACTTGAACTCATCCAACCTCGTCTTGAATGAGGATGTAACATGGATCTCGTTTCATAGGTATTTAATAAATACAGTAGATTAATAAAATGCAATAAATATTCTTCTTGTATGATTTTATTCTAGTGGGTACGACTTGGGATATTTATATCGCATCTTGCGAAACGACTCGGTTCCCTCCACTGTTGAAAGTTTCTTTGAAATCTTGCAACTTTATTTTCCAGTATTGTACGACATTAAGGTGAGTCTTTGTGACCACTTGTCGAAGCGTCGACAATAATATTTTAATATTTTACTGTTTTGCAGTATCTCGTGAAGGACTGTAACTTTGTGCCAAGTGGACTTGCGGATTTGGCTAGTTCGCTTGGGGTGGCGCGAATTGGTCAGTCCCACCAATCTGGAAGTGACTCGCTCTTAACGGGTCAGGTGTTTTTCAAAATTCGTGAGGTATATATTTGTAACGTTTATCTCCTAAATTCCCTTACCAATTTATGTATCCTGTCTTTTTTACAGATGTTCTTTAAGAACTCGATTGACGAGGTGCTGTACAACGGTCGCGTGTACGGATTGAGCGGTCACTACTACTCGGAGGATACAGTGGACGCTGTCTTGCCCGACCGTATTGTTGAAGCCACTGGAGGGAAGAAAAAAGATGGAGATCAAGAAGCTACTCTTGACAAAGTAAAATCTCTTCCTGTCCTAGAAGGACAAGAAGAACCGGAAGAATCAGAAGAATCCGAAGAATTGGAAGAATTGGAAGAATCTTCTGATTCTTCTGATTCTTGGTGAATAAAATCCGAAGAATCTGAGCCGAACGAATGAAGCTACAACTTCTTTACCCCTTTAATCACTCATTAATGTTACATTTAGAGAAGACAAAAATCCATAAATATATACGATTAGATCCTTAGGGTTCATAGTTTAAAAAATATTGAAATAACACGTACATATGTATGTAGGTATGTACTACATCATTGAATTTTTAAGGTAAAATTAAATGTTAATGCATTGCATTGTTAATTGTTAATGTCTTGTCTTCGTTTTTTTCTTAAGCTGGTGGTCGCATGCATCGACTAAAAGATAGTATAAAACAACATTGATTTAAATTCAGATTGCTAGTGGTGCATAAATTGGTTGACAATAAATGCAATTTTTACAGAAATTTGTTATTTAGCTTGTAAATTTTTTAATTTGAAATTAATATTTTGGACTGCAACTGTTTTTGATTTGTGAAATTTGAATGAAAAAATAATAATTTTAAATCCTGACCCTTTTTATTGCAACTTTCACTTTTACATAGTGCTGCATTTTTAATACTAATTTTGTATGTATCAAATGAATTAGTGATAAATGCGGTAATTAAACTGCTCCATGAAAATTAGGTAAATTAAGCAAACCAGAGTCATAAAGCAAAATGACCGGCGCGACACGAATTTTGTATTTTGTTATTGTTTTTAATTCATTGCATTTAATTATCAATTGTATCGACTTCAGATTAAAGTATTTAATTAATAATTATTTGAACATCAAATATGTCCCCCGAGAGAAGATGGGCGACTCTTCCTCAGTCATCACCTTATCGTCATCATCATTACAACTTGCTCGTCGTCGTCATCTATATTCTCCATCTTCCACAAGAAGAACAAGACATCATACATCGGCTTATCCTCCTTTACAACAGCAACTTTTCCCCCTCCGCCATCTTGTTTCCCACCTTCTCGTGCCCCCTCGAAATCTCACGACACACGACTCATCTCATTTGCATCCCCTCATATGCCTATCGCTCGCTCGCTCAACTGTCCCCCTTCTCCTCGACCAACTCGACGTCCTATGCACTCGAGCCCGAGCGATAAGGAAATGAGGATATGCAAATGAGATAAGACAAAGGAGTCGTGAGAACTCGAGGGGGCACGCGAGGGTGGAAAGCAACATGGCGGAGGGGAATAAGTTGCTCGGCTGTCTTCCCCTCACCTCGACCCACTCGACGTCCATATAGCGGTGAGGATGATATACCTTATCCACGCTGTCTGGCTTTGTATAGCCAGGCTTATCATGACGCGTCCTTCTCCTTCTTCCTCTCCACCCACGCCGGAGAGACTGAAGATCTCTCACTCTTCGTTCTCGTCTCGACAGGATAACAGGTTGCTTAAATTTGTGGGTAAATAATTAAGCGGAAATACATTTACAAAAGTATTACTAACTAGCAATTACCCAATTACAAAACTAGTCACCAATTGCTGGTCTTTCTTTAGTCGTTTTCTTTAAGGAGAGAATAGGTAAGTGTTAAAAACTAAGAAAAACTAAATTTATTTGAGCAGAGTTCAACAAAATGTTCGATATTTCCATGATTAATTAATACACCGGGTCAAATCACTTATCATGTGCATGATTCCTGCGTGTAATTCTACTTTGAAGTAGTTTAACAATTTTTCTTAATTACTGATTTATCTTTAATTATTGCAGTGAATCGCCTATCATCATCATTATGAGTGCCATTTGCTCAACGTGTCGTAACCCCTTCAACGATGCAGTCGTTTCAATTAGATGCAGCCACTCCCCATGCGAGGCCTTGACCGCCATCTTTGTGAAGCCCCCCGTAAAGGAAGCATCCACCAGAATGCAGACCAGATCTTCGTCCCGCAAGGAGTTTGAAGAGAATTTGTTTGAAAATACCATCAAGATGTGTCCCAATTGCGACGAAATGCTGGCAATACTTTACGATAGGTATAAAGGATTCGTTAACCTGATTCATCCTGAATCGGATGTCGGGAAGAAGCTGGGACATCTTGTAAGTGAGGAGAAGAAGGACGATTCGCCACCAACACCACCAATTTCTCCCCCTTGTTTTACGGATGAGTCTTCAATTTCTCCCCTTTGTTTTACCGAGGAATCTTTATTGCCTCCGCCGACGGCGGCACGCAAAATTAGTGTCGCTTGCAGGAATGGTCGCCCAAGGAAAGTGGGGAAAACGATTATTGGTGAATTTTACTTAAATTTTAACGACTTTATTTGACCCAATAATTTGACATTTAATTAATTTTATTTTTTACAGTAGATGATAAGTCTTCCTCATTCACCACATTCCGTGACCCTACTTCAACTAAGAAAGAGAAAAAAGCTGCAAAACGTCAAATAAGCCCGGAAAGGTGTGAAACTCCAACCCATGAAAGTCCATATGTATCGCTTCCCGGTAAGATTAAGTCACAAATTAGTAAATTTTAAAAAAAATTGTGACATTTTAACGTATGAAATTATGCAAACAAATTGCAGATTCGCCTCCTTCATCAGGCTCACAGCAAAAACGACAACGTCCCCAACCCATTGACCACCATGACGAGCCAGACATGTTACACGATCCTTATTTCAACATCCCAGATTGTAGGATAATTCCCAACCAGGCAATTTTGTTGCCAAAACTCGACTGGATTGAGGAGCAACTCATATACGACTGTGGGAACGTGGTTGTTACAAAACCAGAAATTCCTATCGAGGAAGGGCCTGACGGGCCCAATGTCTGTAACTCCGACGATGACGAGGGTAAGTGATCGTGATTTAATTCAAAATTTATCAATTTCCCAAATGAATACATAACTTAAATATTCCTGGCTTATTAGAAATGACCCCGGTTATGAGCACGAGGGAACTCTTTGCTACGGAGTGGTATCGTAACGACTACTTTATTCGAAAGTGGAAAGCTGCAGAAAGACGAAAGATGAAAGAACAAAGCAATTCTCTTCCTACCAACAAAGACAAATTCGTCCAACTAATGAACGTCGTCGTCGAGGAAGTCGATGAAGGTCCGCTCAAGGAGGGTCGACATGACAATTCACCCGTCCCTTCCCTCTGCAGCGACACGTTAAGTGAAGGAGTATGCGATGGGGATGACGAAGACTCGGACTGTGAGTGAATCACAATGATTCTGATAAGGTACGGAATATGTCTAATTTAATATAATAATGATGATTTTAAATAATTAATTAATAGATAGATAGATAGATAGATAGCTTTATTTCTCATTTGATATGGCCGGGGCCCTCATCATTACATTATCGTGTTACATACTAGTTAATTGAAGGAATGGGGGTCATTAGTGATGGGATATATACATACATATTATGCACAGCGCATGATAAATAATTATTTTGTACAGTTTAGTCTGGAAGTAAGTTAAAGGCTGCTGACCAGAAGATAAAAATAGATTTGTAGATTGCTTCGGGTGTTTTATAATTAATTAATAAGTTTGGTTAATTGCAGGCGTTATTATCCACTCAAAAGAATAAAGGCGAAGGATTAATTTATTATTATGCTTAAACAGTTTTTAACGATAACAAGTAACAGACTTTTTATACCGTTGTAAATTAGTGTATAATTTTACATACATTTTTATATATCGAATATTTTGTTTTAACACTTTAATGTGTACTTATGTAGTTTTTAACAGTAACAAATATGTAGCAGACATTTTTATTCCGTTATAATTTACTTATAATTCTACATACATTTGTATATATTTAATATGTTGTTTTAACACTTTAAAAAGTACATAATTTTAAGACTGATTTTATAATATGTATACGTTTTTATTTAACTATCCAAAAATAAATATAATATTTGATTTATAATTACTTTTTTAGCGATTATCTTTAAAATTAAGATACATTTTCATTACATTATCAAGTATAATAAGCAAAAATGAATGTGCATACATACATAAATATGTAGTTATATGTGTTTGTACACATAGATGTATAGATAGTAGAAGTAGATATTTATCCTACGAAGAGGCCAACATAAATACATACATAAATATGTACACACAGATGTATGTACATATGTATTATGTATGAAATTCTTAATATGAAAAATGTGCAGTGAAGGTATAATAATAAAAGGAGAGGGGCACACTTTTTTTAGTATTTTTGAACGTCCCAAGCAGCCGTTTTAGTCGACGTTTCGACCTCAGAGGTTTTCTTCAGGACGGCGAAATGGTGGTCATTCCCATTCGTATATGAATCCGGTTTCATATATCCGGTTGACAAATGCAAGTATTGTGTACAAGTACAACTCTATAGAATTCCATTCTAATTCCTTTCTTTTTATGATCTTCATGACTTTTGTAAGTACAACTAAATGGGACAATACTGCTGGAAATTATCATTTATTATGCCGTGGAAACTTTATTGCATATGTATGTACATTTACTCCAAATTTTAGTCCAGACGGTGTTTTATGCAATTTTTTTTGCAAAATATTAAATTGACATAATTACAATAAACTAATTTTACATGGTTTACAACCAAAATGTAGCTCGATTTTGCATGCGTTCATAATATTTATTAAAAGCGATGCTGGTAATTAATTTTAATTTTCTCAAGTTCAAAAAGTCATGCCATTAATTCAATGCAAATCAACATCTTACTTTTTAGCTCGAATTTTATTTTTACATTCTCTTTAAATATTTATTAAGTGGATTAATCATTAAAATCAATCATCTCTTAAAACTGCAACAAATTACTCAACGCACAGGACACCAAGTTCAAAAAGTTACAAATCCTCAAAACCGGATCGAAATAGAGGGGCGCCGGGCACTGGAGGATGCTCGTGATGCTGTTCGCGCAACTTAGGAATTTCGTGCAGTCGTTGGGATGGGGGAAAAGGCCGGTGCCTTTGCCACAACAATACGCCGGGGTGAGGTCAATGTACCAAATATTATTCTTCTGAGTACCCGGATCGGCCGGAATGCTCGAGTCGCGCATTAACCCGCCAAAGAAATAAATCCTGTAGCGACCCTGCGCATAAATGGCGGATGACGCGGCTAACCAGTTATTCCCGATGGAGGGGAAATTAGCCACGGGGTAAAATTGGACGGCCAACGTGGCCATGTCGATTTGGTAGATGCCATTAATCGGCTGACCCGCCTCTCCATTGTATCCACCAATGATCCAGAGGACGTTGTTGTCGTAGTCGTATGCGGATGTGTGATGGTCGAGGTCGGGAAGGTCCTGGATCGTGGCGAGGAAGTCGGACGTGTAGGCAGAGGGGTGAAACGAGAGGACGCGGGAATCTAATTGGGTGTCTGTCACGGCAGCGCCGACAATGGTGATGTTGCTTCCGCCCGTGGGATTGACGGCGGTTCCCTTGTTCGCCATTCCGATGAGAAGGTCACCGACGACGGAGTTGTTTCCGTACCTTAATTTAATAAGAAATTCGATAAGGATGTTTTTCGTTTTTTGGAGATTTTTGAAATTTTTACTTTTCGGAAATTATTTATTTTTAAATTTCTAGTCCCACTTGACGATAAATTCGGAATAAGATAACTAAATTTGATAAAATTCGTATTTCCGATAAATATAATTATTAAATATCGTCGCTGTAGATCCATAACCTGCCAAGTTGAAAACCAGTTGGAAGCATAAAATGCCAAGTTGAAAACCAGTTGGAACCATAACCTGCCAAGTCTGTTTTGGGGTGTATTGCGATTTAGTCTATACAAATTTGGCATTTAGCTAGCGATAAAATGGCCCTTTCAAAAAAATTATTGACCACCTAGTTCCGGAGATATAAAAGTTCAAAAACTGATAAAATTTATAAGATTTGGCTTTCTCTTGCTCGAAAAACTCGTGGAAAGATGGCTAATCTATGCGATCTAGGAACTGTTTAATGTTGAATGCAAATTTCAATTTCATCCAAACAATTTCAAATTTGGCATGAACATGCATAAATATATTGTTAATCATAACATGGCATCAATTCCCGCTCCGATCGCTATAAATTTTTCAGGAAAAATCAAAAACCGTAAAAAATTTGGTTTTATATTTTTCCTGAAAAATTTATAGCGATCGAAACGGGAATTGATGCCATGTTATGATTGACAATATATTTATGCATGTTCATGCCAAATTTGAAATTGTTTGGATGAAATTTAAATTTACATTCAGCATTAAACAGTGAAAAAATCAATTACTGCGATTCCTTCAACTAACAATCATGTGGTTCGGGTTTTTACGCTCTCCTGAAAAATCACGAAAACAGACTTGGCAGGTTATGGTTCCAACTGGTTTTCAACTTGGCAGGTTATGGATCTACAGCGACGATATTGAATTTAAAAATTTGTAAAGTTTTACTGAATTACAAATTTCCATAAAACCAAAAAAAATCATACACGTATCTATTGAATTTAGCATTTAAAAAATTTGCAAAAATTGTTGATAAATATTAAATATAGTCATTAAACTTTATAAATTTCCACTTTCTAAATACGGGACAAATTTTAATTCTTTCAAACCCCAAACATTTTAATATTTCATGAACTTACCTTGCAAAAATTCAAGCATTTACAATTTTAAAAAAATATTCCAAAAAAATTCTCAAAACTACAAATAATTTTTCCTCACCTCATATCCATTTGCGTAATATTCGTCCAGGGATAATTCGGCCCCCCAAAAACGAACGCCTGGCTCCCCGTGGACTCCACCGCGGCGAGGTTTTCCGTCACCGTCTGAATCAATCCAATCTCCGATAACGCGTTATTATTAAACGAATCAAATTTGAAAATCGGATCCTGCGCTGATCCGTCCCCGTCCACCCCGAGGAAGATGAATTTCGGGAAAGTGACCCCATCTTTCAGCACGACCCCGCCGTACCGCGTGCTTCCTAACGTTCCAACCTGCGTGACCGCTTGCGTGGACATGGAGTACTTGTAAATCTGATTCATCTGGGTGGTTCCGGATCTCAGCCCGCCGAAGAGGTAGATCGAATTGTAATTGTTGTAAACCGCGGCGGTGTGCGACATCGCGTAAGGCAACGTTCCCGCCGACGTGACGGACAGCGTGACCGACCCGCATTGCTGAATTGTCGCCGACCCCAGCGAGGCGGCGGTGAGGATGATAAATATGGCGAAAAGTGGGCGCCCCATTATTTTAAGGTAAAAAAAATTGGCGAAAATATTGCGAAAATTTCCCCTGCTTGTTCTCCTCAACGCCTGAGTGAGGAATGGACCAGGTCGCCAAGGCAACTTTGACTTCACCTCCTCGAATAGTCGAAGCGATTGGGGATCTAATTAAAGCAAGTGCCGCATGCAATAATTGGATGGGTGGATGGGTGGATGAGATTAAGCAATAAATTAGTTAAAGGAGGTATAAAGACGATAAGCCTTTTACCCTGGCGTGATGAATTGATTATGCAAATAAAAATCATAATTTTATGGACAGGATTTATTGCTTAAAATGTAACTTATTTATGACATTGACGCAGGCGAGACAAGGATTAACGTGGATTGACAGCATGTTAAGTTGAACAAGAAGCAATTTGTACAAGTATGAATAGAGTCAAAGTTCAATGATAAATTAGTTTGTACTTATGTATGGTTTACGTAACGGTGTGATTGCTAGGGTAAAAATAGAAAGAAATTTGGGGAACAATGGGACTTGTTTCTTAAAAACTGGAAATTATATTTCTTCTCAAAAAATTTTTATGCAATATCTCTCACAAAATTTGTTTATGTACATATGTATATATTTGGCATGAACTTCGAATCCTACTAATTTGCTGTTACATAAATGTTCCCCGTTCAAAATCATTAGTGATTTGTTTAGTAAATATTTATGTTTATACATATGTATTTATGTACACAATTTCAGAAATATGGTCACGTTTCTGGTCTTGTTTTTTCGTAAAATCCATTCAAAAGCGGAGAAATAATTTATTTAAACTGCGTACCTAAAAAATGTTCCTATTCTCCATCAACTTTGACATTTGTAACTTGATTAAATATGTAAGACGACGTACATAATTTGAGAACATTGATCTCTTCACCTTACATTGTTCCATTTTAAATACGTACTCGAATATTTACACACACAAATTGTTACTTTTATAAAAATTATACAAGTGCGAATCGCACATTTTTTTCTGCGATTGACGCAAATCGCCTCACGTGTTGTACTTATGTTGGCAAGATTTAAGCAAGATTTTATTGGACATGTCCAGGCCGACAGTTCCATTTAATTTGTTATACAACTAAACATTTTTATTTATTTATGTCACTATTCATTCGATCAATTGAATGGAACTTGAGTAAGTATTTTATGGCTCACTGACATCGCCGACCCCACGTGTAAGATAATCCAGCCAGGCATGACTTATCAATACCTGACAAAGTTGGACTTTTGTACAACCAGCCATTCTCTGAACCTTCGGTAAGAGAAGAAATGTTAAGCAATTCCCTCGGCGTCACGGGCAGGTCAAGCTATTCATTCCCTCTCTGCTTAAAACGTTTAAGTTAAAAGTTACGTACTCCTCATACAGATAATCCATATCATTTGCATAAATAAGTTGTACGTACAATTTTTGCAATTATATAAGCGCAATTATGTAACCATGGTCATTTTAATGAAGGATTAAAGCCATAACTGCTAATGGCATGGATACAACGGCATGTCTCCAATTTAGTCGAGATGCCGATAAGCCTTTCCCCTCCCCCGAACCGACCTGACCACCAAACTTGGAACAAGGTAATGATTTCGAGTCAGTGTCGCACCAGCAGGGCAACGAAATCCAGCTTGCCAATTTATTTGCAAAATATTTAGGAAACAAAATGAAGCTGACAATTTGGGCAAGTTTTGGCCTGGTGGCGTTGATCTCGGTCCAGGTGACGAACGCGTTCCTCTTCCCATCCTGCAGCAATATACCGTTCAAGCCAGGGTGCACGAATACTCCGAGGTGAGTAGATTTTGATAATAAAAAGTAATTAATAAAAAGTAATTGTGTGAAAATTTGGGGAAAATATTTTTTGGAAAAAAATTAGTGAGGAAAGATTTATAGAAACTAATTTTTACAACAATCTGAATTAATTGTATTGAAGGTTCTGAAATTTACAACGTATTTTTTACATTAATTGGTCTATATCTTAATTAAAGTTTAATATTTAACGTCTCCACATATTTAGTTTATGTACAAATTTCGACAGTATTTAATTTTTCATGGGACTCTCGTTACAGATTTACAAAAATTTAAAATATATATTTTTATTTCGAAAATTTAAAAAAAAAACTAATTTACGTATTTTTTAACTATTTCAAAAACATTTCCTAAAAACTCCTCCCCCTTTTTCCAGCCTCGTCTCCCCCACCCTGCCCGCCTGCCCGCTCCCCTTCGAACAATGGGCCACCGCCGCCCGCGCCGCCCCAGGAAATTCTCCCCGCCCCAACGGCGTCATCCCCACCTGGTTCAACCAACAACTCGCCCTGCGAGGTCAACAGGTCACCTCGGAGTACCGCTTCCCCTGGTACATCGTCATGTTCTTCGGTCTCCTCATCGAAATCAACATGCCCGACATCCGCAACCCCATCATGTTCAACAAGAAGAACACGAACGGCCCCGACAACGCGAGGAGAGACATCGCCACCATTATGCAAGGCTTGGTCTGGACGAAGGACTACTTCTACCGCCTCCCCGTCGAGGGCCACTCCTCCTTCATCGTTTCCATCAAGAACGTTCGCGCCACCCATATTGACGTCCAGACGCGCGCCAATGCAAAAATCGCCTCCACCGGATGCATCATAACGCCCGACGAGTACGAAAACCAGGCGACGAACGACGCTTTGTGGAATGCTTTTGAGTGGGATATAGGAAATTCAAGTATCCCGCTGTCTCAGCGGACCGAATCGCCCACTAATTGGCTCACCTGCCCGCCCGAGACGGACTGCGGGTCCTGCGGCGGCTGCGCGAACTGCGTCCCCGTCTATAATTTCGAAAACTGTACTGGGGTCAATAATGTCAACTGTACCGTGCTCAATACCACCTGTACGGATTACCTGGACGAACCCTGCATTTCTGGGAGTGTTAATTGCACCTGCGTGTACGAGTACAACCTGCCGGAACCCGAGTGCATTCAGGCGAACGAAAATTGCACAATTGTTCAAACTAATTGCACGGATTGTTCGGCCTGTGGGGCGGCCACGTGCACGCAGAATGCCGTCCCGGCCTGTCAGTACATGCAGCCGAGCACGTATCACTGCGACACGTGCATTTGTGACCCGGAAGAGGAGAATTGCGGGCAGTGTGAGACGTGTACGAATTCCACGAGCTGTCTGAGCTTCATTCCGCCGCTGTATAATCAACAAGGGATGAATTTGGTGCTGTACAATTTGATCGCGTATCCCATCTTGTTTTCCCAGGATTTGGCGATTAACGCGTGCGACGCGGATTTATGGGCGTTTAATCATCTATGGGCTTCGATTGGGTAGGATTTAATGGGTGGGATAATTTTGGGGGATTAATTTTAATTGTGATTTGATTATGTATTTATGTAGGTACGCGTTGGGGATTGATGATCAGTACAATGTCATGCTGCAGCCGGATTTGGCGTCGGCGAAGGTGTACTACAACAAGATTTTTGATAATATTATCATTCCCGGGTTGTTTAGTTTCACTAAGCAGACGAGGCTTATGATGGATAATGTTTTTAAGGTGAGGATTAAATAAATAAAAATAAGTTTTATGATTATTGAGATAAGAAATTTGATATTTTTTTGATCAAAAATTGAGCTTTTTAGACTACAATTCTGAGATTTCCTAGAATATCTATGAAGCTCAGATTTCTCAAAATAAAAATCTCATTTTTCCCGTAATGAGAGTCTTAGATTTCTCATAATAGGAATCTCAGATTTCCCATAATACATAAGAATCTTAGGATTATACTTGAAGTGAGTTAGTTATGTGCTGTGCGAATGGAGCTAAACTCACGAGAAACCCTAGTCTCAGCACAAGGTACTTCAGGAGGCCGTAGGTTTAAGCTCCACCCGCACAGTACATAACTCGTTCACTTTATGTATAGTCTGATCTTAAGATTAGTGTTACACAAGAGTAAAGTCTGACATATACGTCCTTTCTCGACCCTCGTTACGTGTCTCACCTTACCCCATATTTACTAACCAATTAACTGTACCATTTAATTTCAGGGTCTTTCCACCGCCACGGCTGGATTCTTAAGTCCCACCTTTTTGCTGCATCGTTTCGTCAACAACTTTTTGAACAAGGACGCCCCTCGTCTGCAAGCTTTAATGAGTGTACAAGAGCTCGCTCTTGACCAAGCGTTTGATTTCGCCTACATCCCACAATTCATGAACAATGCGATCTATCGGGCTTTCCTGAATGCGGCGATAAATGATTACTCCTACAGCGCTTCAGCTCTCCTATTCCCAGGAAATTGTACGAGTTATACGACCATTTCACAGAAATGTTTTGTTTACTGAATATTATATGTATGTAAAAAAATAACTTTTCCCATGTGAAATAATAACTGTCGAAATTATTTAAGTCAAAATTTTGTGGAATAAAGTTTAAAATGGATAGAGAAGATTTAAATCATGGTTAATTGTCTTTATAATTATCTCATTGTGAGAAATCTGGTGTAGTCAGGCAGGTATTGATTTCTGGGTGATAAAGTTGCTATCGCTTGGTATGAAAATTATACCGGTCCGTAAAAATTTGCTACCGATATGCGTAGTAGAATTTTAATCCCTGTAACGACTAATCAATGCCAGTTTGGCATCTATGAATACTGCTTGGTATTAATTTAATACTGGATTTCTAAAAGTATGTATGTTCATGCATATGCAGCAGATTATTGATTTTAGGGTGATGTACTTAATCGTAAAAAACAGTCCCACAATTATTAAGTTTTTTTGACAAGTAACTAATAAATAACTTTATTCTTCAATGATTTTGCTGATATTTTGTGCAGAGAGTTAATCGTAATTAAATAATTATCTTACATCTGTAGTACTCTACCTACATAAATATTTTCGGCGTCCAATCGAATAAAATACGCTGAGAAATTAACTCATTTGAAAATCGTGACATTTTATGAAGCAACTTCAACTATTTCATAATTAGCCTATTTTTCCTCTGCTATAATCAAATTGATAACTTGTTCCACGCATAAACTTCCTATGATCATGGGCGTACTACTTTCGAAATAGTTGGTCGCCCCGACACGCACTTTCAGCGGGGTGCAGCTTTTCAACCATCGCTTTGATAATTTAACATTGGCGCTCTTTCCGATCGAATAGCGCCAAGCGGACAACAAGTTCAATGAAACGTCGTACGAATCGCCGGCAATTTTGAATTCCGTCAAAAGACAGACCATCCCGTTGATGGCGAATTGGGCGTGGATCGTGTAAAGGGCGAAGGACACCCGGCCAAAGTAGCGGAGCAAGGTGTACCAGCTGACGATGAGGATGGTCGTCCAGGCCCAAATCATGGCGGGGGTGATGACATGTGACATACAGTAGTTCACAAGAGTACTGTACACTTGATAGCGCCGGTAATATTGAAGCGTCACTTCGCTGAATGAGGCGATTTTTGTCCTGGAACGAAATATATATTTACTTATGACGTATTAAACAACAATATTTAAATAATAACTCTATCTGGAATAGGCTCAAGGTTTATGGCTCATGTCGTGGGGCCTTATCTAATTAAGTGTCAACCACTAGCTAATTAAGTGGTTCCAAAATCATAAATAGTGGAAAGTTCAGCCGGTGGGGTGGGAGGTCCTATCTTATCAAGTGCCAAATTTCAGCTAAATAAGTGGGGCGTTAAATTTAACCCAAAATTTAATTGTTGAACAGTGCAAGGCTCGTCCATATATTACGTATCACTTTCAACACGGGAGGATAGGAAATTTTCCTATCACCCCATGTTGAAAATAATACAATACATACATACACATGGACGAGCCCGTAGGAAAAATTTGGGCTGTGGAAATAGTTTCCTCATAGATCTAAATGACGCGGTTGATCTTACTTTGTCGCCCTGAGCATAAACGTCTTCAAGGAGAATGCCATATAAAATATGGTCGCCAAATTCGCCAAGACTCCAACACCCATGACCTGATACCAAAACATGGTTTCGATAAAGCCAGAGATCAGCAAGATGCTTCTTTCATCTGTCGTAGATGGCGCCCACGTGGTCGATTCGCAGGCAAGGAACTGCCACGAAATGAAGCAGGGTTCGCACGGATTTAACATTGAGAATATTCCGACGGTCATGGGAGCCGAAAACAGGGCTAAATAGATCATTAAGGTGTGGATTTGCCACGCCTTGCCGAAAAAACCTTCCGTGTAGACGGTATTCAAACCTGAAATAAGATAGGAAGCAAAGAGACAAATATAAAACTGATTGTAATGAAAAAAATAGAAAATTTCTGACACTTCAAAGTTTGAAGTTCAAACACATTTCGATCCGCATTAAAATTATCAATCCACAAATTGTATTAAGGTGCTATTAGATGACGCGTTAATAAGCCGTCGATTTTTCATCTCACCCAACGCCTGTGCACTGCCTTCAAATTCAAACCTGAAATAATATGGGAAGTAAAAACCTAAAATGGTTTGTGATGAAAGCAATGGAAAGTTTTTAAAAGTTTAATAGATTTTGTGAATTGATAATTTTAATGCGGTTCGAAATTTTAAAGTGATATTGGATGACGCATTAATTAGTCATCGATTGTTCATCTTATTCAACAATTATTCAATCTCTTTAAACGCAAATTTATAAAATGCATAAATTCCTTGAATTTTGAAGCTTTCAAGAGTTTTGCCTTTGTGGCTTAAATGTAAAATAAATTGTTGGTAACACTTAGAAAGCCATGTCCTTGAAAAAAACTAGTTGATTTTACCCTGTTGGTCACAATAAGTTTCAGGGAAACCTATTCCTACTTTTTTCAGGCACATGTAATTTGCCATAACTTACCATTAAACGAAAATAGTTGAATTTAGATATGTATTTTTAAACTTTCATTCAGTTGTCGAAATTTGCATTTAAAACGTATTGAACATGCGAAATAAGGCGTGGCGTTTAAAAGAATCCATTTTCTCCATTTTTGTTTAACAAAATTGCAGTGAAAGCCAGGCTCCTGCTTTCGCAAATAATGTTCGAATTGCAATGAACGAAAGTTCGTCTGTACGAGAGGAATGTTGTTTTTAAGGCAAATATTCCACCCGACCGTAAATACGTATGTACGTACATAGCAGAACATAATAACGTACACAACATACGTACATATATGTATTTCAGAATAGGGGAATTAAATAGTTGTTACTGGTACAAAATAACCAGCATAAAACGTATAATAAGCAAATTGGCATAATTTAATATTTTCGTACTCTTGAATTCATGCTCTGTAATGCACATGCATGTCTTTTAGGAGGCCAAAATTACTCGAATAGGTCACCTGAAAATTTTAAGATTAATGTGCAAGCATGTGACGCTTCGAAATTTCAGCATTAAACATATGTAAATACAGCACACTGTTAGACAGCAATTGCTACATTGCAGGTATAGTCAAATTATTTGTGCTGGTCACCTCATTTGCATGTTTTGACGAATTCGCGAGAGACATAGAGTTTATTCAACGTGGCCGGCTCGTATAGCCCAGAATTGGCATAGCGAGATTTATGCAAATGAGGTGACACGCCTATAAGTAAGAAGGTATGTAGTACTTACATTGCATGCAGCTCGTGCAATTTATGTACAAATGCTTAATTAAGAAAATAATTAAGTGGGATGTATGTAGCGACGTGTCAATCATGAAATACAATTAAAACATAGTCAGACATGTTCAGGCATAATTATATACTTTGTGGATCTGTCCAAAGTATTTACATGGTTAAATATAGGAGCTGGGTTGACGTAGGGAGGTTTAAGGAAAGTGAATTAGCCGATACTTACATAAGTACTTATTCAATTGGTCCGTGTCGATTTGATAGAATGATGACGCAAATGTTCACAATTTTACAGAATATGTACATATGCTGTACATACATATATGTATATAAGTATCCACTCGTACATAATAGTAGTAGCTGTATATTTATATCTTGCTGGATAATAAATAAAATAATCTCTGGTCTACGGAGGAGGATAGAGATTCTGCATACTTCCTTGTGTCCCATGCTAGATATTTTAATTAGGTAAGAAATGTAAGAATATATAGATTTACATACGTACTTACATAAATGCATGCATGTTGTCGTCTGAAATACATATTTATGTGCAAATTAAGCTAGACATATCTAATAAATTAAAATCCATAAGACGAGGGTATAATACATACTTATCTAAAACTAAAGTACCAAACACTTTATCCATTTGAAACTTTTTCTGTTTTTCCAGTAGTGCCATGGCACAATTAAATAGATATTTTTGCAGAAGCTTGTTAATTAAAAATTTGTTACGAAAGGTAAAATGAATTCGTCACATTTTAAAATAAACATGTTATGTTTAAATCTGCAGGTAATCATGATTACACAAGTTATGCAGTGAAACACATAAATTTGTTCCGAAATTCGAGGTGTTAAAAGAAAACTTAAGACCGGATTAGTAATTAATTTCACGTCAAGAAGGTGCTACTCAAAAAAGTGAAAACTTTAAAATTTGTGAACGAAGCAACCTAACTGTTATGCATAATTGTCATCACATTTTGTTGAAGTAAGACGACACAGAAACGTTTTTAATATAAATACTAGCGTATAGCCCGGCCAAGGCCGGGTTCTAGAGTTCCAGTGGGGGGTGTGCCCAAAGCGAAAAATCCGTCATACTATACTTTAAATAATTCCCAGTGGAGACTTTGTCATACCACATACATACATCAGAGTGAGGGTTTGCCCAAGTTATACTGCATTTTAATTAATCTGGTCACAGTACAATTTGATTTCCCTCTGTGGGAGTAGTTGAATAGCTAATTACTTAAATTCCCGTCGCGTGGGAGTAACTGCATAGCTAACTATTTAAATTCCCACGCTCCCGTTAAGTTCCATAAACCCCGTTAACTTCTACAATTAACGCCAAGCTATTGACGGATTCGGATTCAGCGTCAAAAATACATTCGAATTGATGTGCGACATCACTAATAAGCCATATTTGGACACCACGGTCACGGCAAGGTCACGGGGGTCTCGCAGGTTGAAACCATTGGCGTTGGATTCACCGTCAAAAATACATTCGAATTGATATGCCACTCGCTGTGGGTGGAGTTTCTCAAACTAAAATAATTAATTAATAGTGTTTATCACGATCACTTATCATGATAACCACCATTGATGAGTGATGTATGTATGTGGGGTAGCAGTATGTACATGTTCATGCATGCATTCATTCATGCAGTATAGTGCATGCATGCAGTGGTCCGCTTCCTTCTTTGTCTCCTCTATGGGGCAACTTGCATTACGAAGACGGACCCAGGGACCCAGGGATCATACTAACACTTTATTAGAGTTGATTACAAACGTTTGTAAATTTACGTATGTACATAGATGCATGATTTGTATTTATTATCTATAAAAATATGTAGTACACACGTACGACGATTGTGGTCCCCACTTCTGCGGAGTTCTGCCCGGTTTTAGGTAAATATACATACATGTGCCCAACCGTCACGACTTATAGCTGATCAAGTTACCTCGCCTGTCCTCTTAGTCGGATGAAAATATGTATCTCCGCCAAACTTGAACATTTGAAGATAATGGCATTTGCAGACGTCATATTAAATAAATTTGTGATCGATTGACACCAATTGTGTCAAAATCGGAGTTAATAGGTATGTACGCTGGAACACCTACATACATTGAACGGCATTAAATATTTACAACTTGCAGCAAATTGGGATAATTTAGTAATTTTGGGAAGAAGCAAACATATTAAGGACACCTACTACATAAC